TCGTTGTGACTAAACTTGACATGGCAACTCGGTCCGGTATAAGACAAACCCTGGTACAAATCCTATCGACGATCAAGTTGACTGGAAGGACGCCTGTCATGCTTCCCGCCCCGACAGACACCACTGAACAGGATGTGAACCTTCAACAGATTTCAGCTTCTGACCAGCTGGACGCGGACAAAGCAATTGCTTCTGTGGGTACTAACTGGACGAGCAAGGTTCCTATCGTCATTACCAGCTCTGTTACCGGAGCAGGAATTGGGAAACTGCATGCATTGCTTAGAACCCTTCCGATTCCCTCAAAGAGCTCCAGAAGGCCAATATCAATAACTAGCAGTACAAATGTGCCACATGAAGCCGCCAAGCTATTTGATATCACTGAAGTGTTTGAGATGCCAGCGCTCAAGGTGTATTCTGTAGCGGGTAACAATAAGCGACAGCATGATAGGGCAATTATTTTGTGCGGTCGCGTCCGCTGTGGGAACATCTCGATTGGTGACCAGCTTGTTGTTGGTCCACTCATCATGGACGCCCAAGCATATATAGACTCGTCCCACCTGGTGTCGCAGTCGAAACCGTTGCTCAGCAGATCACTTCCTTTGGAACTTGCAACATTTTATTTGCACAATGCCCTTCCAGATGAGGATCATTCACAGGCTCGAGCTCACTGGCAAGTAGTCCGTGTTGTCAGTCTCCGAAATCTGCGACTGCCTGTCACAACTTTATGCGAGCATCAGATCGGCACAATAGGGATAGACGGCGCTGATGCAATTCCATACCTAGGGAGAATTCGAAAAGGCATGGTTCTAGCTGATTTCCACCCAATTTCCTCCCCGCTCTCGATACCGAGCTCACTACTTGCGCCGGTCTTTTACACCGGGTTTGTTGCCTCATTTCCAGCCTCGAACTTCTCTTCCACACTCTCCTCTTCGCTAATTCTCGGAGGACATGCTGTTGTCTACATTGCTAGTATCAGGGCGGCTGCCAAAGTATCATGTGTCGAGGCCAACAGGAATTCTAAAAGACTGTCCCTTGTGGGTGATGGAGAGATCTCTCCGCTTGATAGTGATTCTTTCCCTGCAAGCGACTCTCACCATCGCCATCCCGAGCCAACTGCGGACATTACCGGTAGCACATGCGATAATCCACATGAATCCGACAACATCAAAATCACGTTTTCCTTCGTCTCTTCTGTGGAATGGATTGAATTGAATTCCCGTGTGCTTGCCATGCCTGCAACAACTATGGCAACATCGTCGTCTTCACTTCATTCCGCTCCAGGATCGCTGGGACTGAAAGGTTTTGTTGGGCGGGTCTGCCAAGTCCTGAGTAGTTGATCTTTAGATATTCCGTGTACTTCCGATCTTTTTCTGTTGTTTCTTTGTAAATCCTGTTTCTCCTTTGAACTTTGACGTCACAGCTACCACATATGTGCCAGCAAGCATGTTGTGCTCGCTTTCCCTAGCCCTTTAATATTGGTGGCTGTCACGCAGTCTCAATGCGACCTGTTCTCGACCTGGGGTTTGCTTGATTGGACAAATTTGGGGTCTTTGGATAAACGCGGAGGTTTGAATTGCAAGTTGGATTTGGGTCCCTAGAAGGTTCTCTGTTTCTAATTTGGCCACTGTTCCAACTCGGTGGTAAGATATATCTTCTGTAGCTGAGTATGGCTAGATGATTTTGGTCGGGTACAGATATTATGTGATCACCCATCTCTGAATGTGGCTTTTCGTTCCCCCCCCAGGGATATTTGAAATCTTAATTTTATGGCTTCGTGCTTTTATGTATGTGGTACTTGATTGAAAAGAGAAACACATTGGCTTTTGCAAGTGTTTAATCAAAAATCCTTAAAGCAACGTGGTTAATAAATAGCCAGGGATGTTTCAGGATCTTTGAGAACTTTTGCAAACTTGTTTCATTAAGCTTTGGATGACTTGAGCATAGCTATGTGATTGCATCAGCTGCATTCGCATGTTCAGATACTCAAAGTGTCACTTTGACTGACTGAATATATATTTAACCATATGTTCAAAAATTTAATATCTACAGTCTCTGAGCTATCTCTTTAACTATAAAAATTTCCTATGATGATGAAGATCTCAGACAGTCTACAGACAGTCTACTAATCACACACTAACCTCTATCAACTGACATTACACTGTGTTGGGAAGTGTGCAGAGATTCTCAATGAAGAGTATAATGAACACTTTCTATTGTCTCTCAAAACACTGTGTCGATGCAATTCTTTCTGAGTCAGTATGTGATACATGATGAATGAACAAACATCTACTTCAAAGGAAGAATATATGCTGACAGCTAATTTTGCCAATGCTAATCAAGCCTCAACCACTCTCAACAGTCACTCAAACATGAACTTACTAGAGTTGCGTTGAGGGACATCAAGAAGGAGTGCTTGCCAATAAGAGGCACATTTTCAATCTTGTGACTATTATTCTGAAGCTATTAGCAACTGGCAGGTTGGAGGAAACTTGAAAATGAGTCCTCACTTTCTCAAGTAATATTCACACTTTTATATTCAACATTTTGACTTGAAAAATTTTGGATGATGGTGTAGAGGCTTAAAGTCTAAACTCATAAGTCCCAGCAGGGGAAGGGAGAAAGAGAAAATCAGTGCTTTCAGCATATACACAAACATATATGCTTGCATCATCAAGATAATTGAATATTGCCTATTTAATATCGCAATTTAGATGGCAGCTCGTCATTCGTCATTCTGATTTCTAATAGCACATCTTATAATGAGTGATACAATTAAATATATTCAACATGCCCAGGGACAACATTTCTATGAATGAATTTCATAGTAAAGCATGCATGTTTGTTTCAATGAATCTGATTTCTTCAAATGCTTTACAGATCAAGCCGTTTAAATCTGCCATTGCTGCATGTTAAAGAAAAGATATCAATCTGATGTTGAGTAAAGAAAAATGAATTTAACATTTATGATGATTGTTCAGGTCATTCTGAATACACAAGGTAACTTCCTAAGTCAGGAGGAAGCACAGATTACCCACGTGTTGAGCCACATGGTTGGTGCGGGAGAAGTTAAAATAAGCTTATTTTAACCACACCTCAAACCACCACCAAATCATCGTGGGTTTTCCATGATAGTCAACGCTCAACCTCTCATGAGAGCCTTGAAATAAGGATCTAGCGAATGCAGAACTGCAGAAAAAAATAGAAAATAAGAAGTAAAGAAAAACTCTTTAAATGAAAGGTGAGGAGGACTGAAAGTGACAGGCCATATCATCTGAAAATTCTTGAGAATAGTTTGAGTAAAAAGTATTTTTTTAGTCTATGTACTTTTATAAGTGATTGCTTTAACAAAGCTTTTTACTTGCTGTTAATTTCTATGTATTTTGTATTTTCAACTAAATTAGCAAGCACCTCTCAAATTGTATATTTGTTTCACTGAAAAATCTGATTGATTCACTACATTAATGAAAGTAAATAGTTGAGATTCAACAAAAATTGAAACTGACAGTAAATAAAAAACTCACAAAGTGAAGTACAATATAACCTACAAAACTTCTAAAATATTTACTAAAAAAGTGCTAAAACAAAGCAGAGAAGAAGTATGATTGAAGAACACCTGCTCAATGAAGCCAGCAGATTTCAGATGATAACTTTCTGATTTGATGAGAAATGAATATATATTTCTTTTACTTTTACATTGCCAAACCTAGAAGGATGTTCAATACTGTGCAACTCTAGAAGGCAGTGAAGGACAATGATTTGATCAGAAACAGCATCACAAATGTTTCTGTGTTACATTCTAGGATTGAATGCAGTGGACAGAAAGTAGTCCACACATCAGGATCTTGAAAGTGAGAGGACACAGAAAATCAGATGGAGCCTCAACTGAAAATTGATTTTCCCTGGGTTGAGAGATAGGTTACAAAGCCGGTTCGTATCATTTGATGCATCTGAGATCCATCCGCGCGAATCGATACGGTTGAGAAATGGGCTTGCAGCTTCCGCATTGCTGGTAGGCCACTTATCCAGGATCCTAGCAAATTGATGTAGTTTCTTAAGTTTTTGGAGACGTAAATAGTCGAATAGGCCAATCTCTGAAACATCCATAGTTGTTGTAGGCACGGCCAGGCAAATTCCCAAGCAAAATATATATAATTTGCATCTATGGGAAAGGGCGTCTTCGGTGGATATGCACAGATTGGGTGAGCTGAGATGCCACTGAAAGCGGCCTGACAGCTTTACCTTTAGTTACCCATCACATCAGGAAATGTAGGGCAACCTAAGGAACAAATTTGTAACTCGGCAGGCCATGGTGTGTCCTTCATTGCAGAGACACAAAACCCTAATGTTTTCAAGGAACAAAACACCCATGAACTAGATGAGATCTTCATTGAACACCAGAGAATGTTAATCAGCTGACTTGTAGAGTTGAAAGCTTTAACTTGCTGATGAGAGAGAACATTCATCAACATCATGAACTAATGAGCAGAGCAGGCTGCGGACTTAGGTATTGCAAGAAGTGGCATATTCCTTTTAATTTGTGTAAGAGCTTCGTTGTATTGTTGTCCATAACTTCGAAAGAAACAAACAAAAATCTGTAGAGTGTTAAAAATAATATATATATATATATATATTCGGCTTGAATTGATCCAAAAATTACCGACTTCAATCCATGTTGAGGTTGGACATCACGTGATTGGCCGCTCTTGGGAAATGTCGACCTCAACTCCAAAGCACATCAAGTCGCGGCATCAACCTTGCAATTCAGTGGTTCTCGACCGTCCTTCTCCACAATTCCACCGAAACGCGAGTTTTGCGGGATAGGAACAATATTATTCGTTGAATCAGTGAATTGCTCTTGTGCCAGCGGGCACACATTACATTATGAAGCTCGTACGGTAAGTTTTCATTCCTCGACATTCCCCCAAGGAGCTTTCTATTCATTTTTTGCCAAAAAATGTGGGATTGCCAGCTGATGAAATTTCGCTTGATACAGCTTTCTTATGAAGTGTGCGAATGAAACAGTGACGATTGAGCTCAAAAATGGTACCCTCTTTCCACTTATTGCTTACCATGTGCACTCGATCATCCATTCTTCCGTCCCTGGACCCTTGGTGACCTTTGCCTCCAGAGCAATGTCCTCCATTTGATAAACTATTTGGTTCTTTAAACATGTTGTTATTAACCTGTTGTGGAGTTGATTAGGCACCATTCTCCACGGTACCATCACATCCGTTTCCCCGCAAATGAACACGGCGCTGCGAACAGTCAAGATGACCACAAAAGGCCGCGACCCTATCTCCCTTGATACAATAAACATTCGTGGCTCGACAATCAGATACTACATACTCCCAGACAGCCTTCCGCTGGATACACTTCTCGTCGATGATGCCCCAAAACCAAAGAACAAAGCTAGGAAGGAGACGGATCGTGGACGGGGAAGAGGCGGTGGCCGAGGCCGAGGCGGCGGGAGGGGCAGAGGGCGAGGACGGGGGCGAGGGTTCTGATCTGACAATATCTCAATATGGGAGTTTGAGTAAAGGATTAGAAAGAGGCCATACTGCAATGAGTTTCCAATCTTATCTGGGCGTCCGAACCAACGACAATTATCACCTCTAAAGAACCCAATGATGTAGGAGGTTTCTTTGTGTTGCCTTTTAATTTTTTTTTTCTTTTTTTCTGCAACAATTCTGGCATGTGTGGATCTGGATGGATGGCTTCATGAATCTTCGTCTTATTTTATGCTGGTTTTGTTTTTTCTGCTTGCTACTCGAGTCGGCGAGCTTACGGAATGAGACGAGTTTAACAAGGGCCTCTTTGAATGGACATGCTCTAATATACATTTTTAACTCCGAAACATTTTGGTGGGTGAAGTATGTTAGTCCATTCGATTGACGAACACGTCAATTCGAGCTGTCTGTAACCCGTGCACATGTAAACACTACCGTCTCGCTGGCTGGTGAAATTAAATCATGTTACGAAACCATTTCTTTTCATTTCTATTGCATTGAATTGCCTCCAAATCCGCAATATCACCAACCGTTCCCAACCAGCTTTAGCACCACTGCTCCCCACAACTTCAGCGGTCCAGCCCAATCCCCAACATGCGATACGCGATCTCACTTCATCCGGATTATTTTGAGCGCAGAGCAACACGTAAGCAACGCCGCGAGCTGGATTCAGAACATCTGGTATTGACTCTATAAGCCGATTTGTAGTTTCCATTCCAAGTTGCCCCCCAGCATAGGAGAGGGATAGGAGGTGGGACTCATGCTCGAATTTAGACTGAGATGAGTTAACCGGGGCCGAGTCTTCCATTTCGGGTGATGGTATATCTGGTAGTTCCGGGGTGGGCACGTATGGAGGGTTGAATATGAGGACGTCTACCGAGCCAGGCCTGAGGGGTGTGCACAGATCTGCCGTAAGAGATGACAGGAAAAAGGATCCTACAGACATTTCCGCAACGGGATTCCCAAGTTCGTGTTTCTGGGACTCACTAATGGCTTCGAGAATTGTTTGCCGTGTTGCACGGCATGCATTACTATTCACATCGGTGCCCAGGGTTAGTATATCCTTCCTCCCAAAGATGTGAATGGCGTTTGCGGCCACAAAGGCAAGGACTACGCCTGAGCCTATACCGACCTCAACCACAAGTGGTTGAGGGGAGTAGTTGAAGACAGAGCGCGGCTGGGAAGAGTTATTGCCGGAGTCATTGAATCTACGGCTTAGCCAAGCAGTCTCTGTAGCGGAGGAGAGTGTATTGAGGAATAGATAGCTATCTTCCGCTGGTTCATAGATCGTGTCGAAACAAACGTGCGAGGTTGAAGGGGTTGGAAGCATGGCTAAATTATTGAAGGGATCCCCGGAAAGCTTGACTCATGGTGTTAAACCCCGCTGTAAGATAAACGCCGCCATTGACTACTTGCTGCTCTTCCCAGGTTTGTGCTCAGTCAGATGTTGTCAAGATAATATTTTTGGCGGCGGCATTTTGAATGCAAAATTATACATCACGTGACTCGAGTGGTTACGGAGACATTGTGAACATCCTTGGAAAAAAAAAGTTTCCGCAAAGCCCTTCAATGCTTGAATACATGGCGTACTCCGTATATCGATTTTTTTTATTTTTCTTTCTCACCTCCGCTCTGACAGCCCTGGGACAATTAGTCCTTTCCTTTCTTCATTTTTTCCTTTCTTCCACGCATCCTCTTTCTCCTTAAACAAAGCTCCAACCTTCACGCTGCATTGTACTGCTCAAGTTCTAACAGTTTCGGATCCTATATTTCATTCAACTTCTATTTTGACTGCAGTATTTCGAAATGAGGGCGTCCCCTAAACTGTTGGCTAATCCGCTGCCCACACTCTCAAATGCTGGACAGCAGTTTGCATTACTTCCACCGCTCCAGCTCTATCGTCGTTTGCTCAGAGCCCATCGGAAAAAGCTTCCAAAGGATATGCGTCTTCTCGGTGATGAATACGTGAAGAGCGAATTTCGAGCCCACAGGAATATAGATAATCCTATCCATATTGTAAGCCAATTTTGCCAACCTTCATGACCGCATTTGCAAACAAAGACTGACATCGCGGAATAGGTTGGATTTCTGACCGAGTGGCAGAGCTATGCTCAAAAACTAGAAGGAGACACTTGGCAGGGAGAAAAGCTAGACAAAGCGAAGATTGATAAAATGAGTGGTACTTTTTTATTCTCTTTTCTTTCGCTTTTCTCCTTTTGTTCTTTTTACAGGCTTTGTTTCGCCTCCCCTCTTTCAATCGCGCTAGCGTATGGTTACTAACCCTATACTTTCGTATATTATTAGACCAACAGATTGGCCAGCTTTACGAACTTATGAATGCTATTAAAAGCAAAGATTGAAATTATTTCAAAGCATGAAAGGGCTTTCGATGGTTTATTCCCTGAATGTTTGCGATTTGATTTGAATCATTTATCAGCGTTGTTAAACATTAACTTCACCCTTTGCTATAGTTCAAAGAGTGAAGAATATATTGTGTACAACTTCGACCCATTCGCTATGGGCATTCACCACCAAGATTCGAAAGTATGTGTGCTTGATGTTATTTGTGTTTCCCCTCTGCACGGCTTAAAAACCTGAGCCTCTCCTCTTCCATATCCAAGATCCATTTCTGTCAAGAGAATACGATTCCACTGGTATCCAAGGCGGACAGAGAGCTACATACATCACTATCGATCTTCGTCGTTTGGTCACTGATACTTTCCCTCCCATCCATCAAAGCCACCCTGCTTCTGTTAAGGGAAATCACTCATTTCCGTTTCAAAAACTTTGCGTCGATTCTATCTAGCACAGTCTACACACAACAAATCATGTGTCGACCCGTGCTTTTCAAATCGCCTACATGTTTGCATCGGTGGTTCACTATCAGTCACCCGTGCAAAAAGGGAAATGGTTTTGACAACTGCTCGATGCTGAAGGAGTCAAATATCCTTCCGTTCCGCGTGGGGTGCTCCATAACCTCTTGCCCCCAGACGTGTCCCATATGCAACATGAAAGGGAAGTATGATCGAAATTTGATTCGAGTAATCCGGGCACCTCCCTTTTACGGAGTGAGACAAAAGGTTGGGAGCAAATATGTTGTCGATCACCATGTCGCCATGTGTACGGTGATGTAGGTGGAAGGCCCTTTTTTTTATTTATATTTTATTTTATTTTTTACCTCTTGATTTATGATGATCCACCCGGCATCGGCTCTCTATCTCTTATCTTTATTTTCTTTTTGGGATATATAAAACTTGGCCGTGGGATATGAAAGCTGGATTTCATTTTACGGAAAACTACGGCATAGCGTGCGTAGTTTTGGGGTCTGTTGTCCTTGATCCTGCCGTGTATTTAAACCTTGATACTAAAAGCTGGAACAATGCAGTTGTAAGAAACTCTCCTGGAAATGCTTTATTTTTTGTAAGCTGGCTGCTTTTCCTTTGTTTCATGATATTCCTGTTATTTTATTAATTGTTGTTTATCTGGGCCTTTGTGAATTTTTTTTTTTTTTTTTTTTTTTTTTTTTTTTTTTTGGGATTCTCAAGGTCCAAGGTTTCTTTCAACTTAAGAAACTTCTTAATGTAAGAAAACATCTTACTGCTTTCTTCATCATGTTTCTATTTGTCTTGCTCAGCCTCACCACGAATTTCTCAATATGGTACTTTGCTATTTTCTTTCTTCAATCCTCCCTCCACTGGTTACCAAGGTATATAACACCATGAAAGAGAAACTCCTTTGAATAATTTGTTATCACTGGATTTCCCTTGGGCCAGTTTTCAGTTTCAGGTCGTGAAGACATCAGGGATGTATCCATCCGTGGATACGTGATTTGAATCATACACGAAGTACTCGGTCACGCCAGTTTTTGATACATCTCTGTCATAATACTATCATATGGCTCCTTTGCATGGAGATTCTCTGCTTCATGCAATCGGGCGGCCCAGCCCTGGAACTTTTGTCTTCTGTCAAAATGGTTGATTCATTCTTAACGTTGATGAGCTAGCTAACACTTGCCTTTTCACATAGCGTGGAGAATTAAAAATACAAAACCCTATTCTTAATTAAACTGGACACGATCGTTCTGTGGGTGCTTCGAGCGTGAGGAGAAGAATGTGCAGGCGAGAAACGAACATAACCGAAGACATTCTGAAAAGGTTGAACAAAAAAACCACATAACGAAGGCGATGGGGCCATTTCTATCCATACACTCAATGGATGCTGCATAATCATCCAATAGGAAAGGATACCATCAACAAAACAGCGCCTTTTGCCCCAAATGGAAAAAAAGCCAACCAAACAAACCATCTCCAATGGAACCCCTCCCTGTCTAGCGCCAAGTATTATCTAACACCCAGTTAACCTCCCTCAATATGGCTTTGGGTTCCGTAAGATGGATGTTGTGGCCACCACGTCTTGCAATCGAGTAGGAATGTTTCGTTGACAATCTCAAATTCTCCGTTTGCAGGAATTCATCCAGTTCCCGAAAATCGGCTATTACCCTCTTCCACTCCGCCTGGGGTGCCATGGATGGTTCTCTCCCTTCCTTAATAGCAAGTTCGTATAATATCTCATGAGATCTTGCAGAGTCTCCCTTCAAGACACTGACAGGATACGACCCGAGAATGGGAGGATCGGCTTCCAACTGGTTTTTCTTCCCTAGTTCCAAGCAGCTCTCTTCAATCTGGTTGAACTCAGCATCTGCCATTTCATGGAGTTTAGAACTCTGAGACTCGTCTACAAGGGCTTCGTAATCTTCCTTATCCAACACGACTTCGTCGGTTTCGGCGACCTCGAGCAGATCCTCGTGTCCCTTGGTGAGCGCCTGTAGACCCGGATGGCGTGCTAAAGCCGGAGTGTCCTCGTGATCACCTTCCACAAAGACTATCCCTATGACATCGCAAAGTTCACCCTTGAACCTTTTCAGGTGTAGAAATTCCCGAGCAATGATCCCCCCATATGAGTGACAGACGAGAATATACGGGGGTTTGATCTCCGCCCCAGTGAGAAGCGAATCAAGCTCGAGTGCAAGATTTTCAGCAGTGGGCGCAGTGGGGTTTGACATTTCCTCAGAGTCCCCATAGCCAGAGCGATCGTAGAGCAGAACGCGAGTTGTCCGTTGAACGAGTTTCCGGACGGCGGTCCATTGTCTGCAGCTGGATCCTACATCGGGCAATACGATCACAATCGGTGAATTGGAGCGACGGTTTGGGCCGTACACTGACAGGAAAAGAGAATGGTTTGCGATCGAAACAAAACCCTCGTGCTCTCCCTTCTCCCAGTCTATCCCTGCAGGATCCGCCTTGGCTGGTTCCACTTTGGTTCGTTCCTTGCCAACGGAAAGGGAAAGTTGGGGTTGTCGCTCCATGGAGAGTTAAATCGCTGTTGTCTGAGTAGTTTTTGCTTGCAGCGGTTCCTGGCCTTTTTCTCTTTTCTCTCCTCTATTTTTTTTTTTTTTTTTTTTCAAAGAACGAGCAGGGCCTGCAAGATGGCTCTTTTGGGGGAATTCTTGTGAAGGAAGCGTGAGGGGTGGAGGGCGAGAGAGCACGTAGACTGGTAGACTCTCTCTCACTCTGCGCGTCCTTTGTTATCCCGAGCGCTTTTGGCCTACGTGGTAAACTGCCCACTGAACAGGCCATATCAGAAGCCGCCATGTTGCCTGATCACGCCTGCTCGTTTTCTGCAGCCCCCGTATCTCTTTCTCCTTTGCCTTTCGGGCGACCATTGCCACAGTATATATAACATATGTATATATATATATATGGGCGAGTCGTTATACGGGCCAAGGACGGGCAACTCCTGAATTTGACTTCGATGCAAACCATAGGCGAATGCATGCAGCTCCGGGGTGAAATAGAAGGAAGTTGACTGCAAGCACTCACCGAAGCCGTTTCGGCGGAGAAAAACGAGGGTGAAACCCCCCAAGGTGAAGCCAGAATCGAGTTTAACCTCCCGCTTGGCGATGTAGTTAAAACGTTAATTAACATCAAGTAGCCATAATCGTCAACTGGTTAACTAAGTAACTATAAACTGAGTCCCACCAATTAGTCTTATGGAATCGCAACAGAATACCGATCAATTGCACCATCCGCCCGCTGGTCCATTCCCTTACGAGGAGCTGTCAGCCCGGGCCAATCCCATTCTCCCATTTCTCTCCTCTCAACCCGGTGTTTTCGCCCAATAGAATACCCATTTTACATGCCATATGGTCGCATTCAATTGATAAAATGACAATTAAACAAAATTGACTTCGACCCTGATTGTCCCTTGGTGGGCGCTGCAGCAAGCCATAATGCACAAATACAGTTACAGGATGATCCCGCGACAGCAGGAAACCAAAACATATTAAGGGGCTTTGTTTACCCTACGCTTCTCTGGGTTTATTATCAACTTTCCATCAGCATACCCGCCCCGTTCATAACCAATTATCCAAATCATGGCACCTGTCCAGTGCGAAAATTCATCTGTGGCCCTTCACCAGCTCAAAGGCAGTCCCCTTCCACTGCACCTATTCCCAGACGGGCCCAAGACCAGCGGCCAGCATCCCCCAATCTATGAACAGGCGAAACCATTCTCAGAGTTCCCCAAAGAGATAACCGGTCGGACAGTCTGGAAGGCCGAGGATTACACGAATAATCCTGAGAAATGGATGCATCAATTCAGTGAGGCAGAGATTGCCGAGTTGAGCCAGGCTGCGGATACCTTCCTTGATGCCAGAATTTCTCTGACAGTTATTTCTAAGGTGGGGTTTTCCCTCTGTACGCTGAACTAATCTCCAAATTTTTAAAACCTTGACCAAAGAAATGAACGTGTGCGTGCCAAATCTGCCCAGGGAATTTCTAACCCGAGGATAAGCATACCACAGAGTAACTTCCCCCTTCCCAAACTCTCATCTTTTCTCGCAGAGCTGAGGGAGGACATTATCAATTGCAGAGGGTTTATCCTGTTCAAGGGATTTCCCGTCGAGCAATGGGGTAATCACAAGTCTGCCGTGGCATATATGGGATTGGGCACATATCTGGGATACTTCGTCAGTCAAAACGGCCGTGGCCATGTCCTTGGCCATGTCAAGGACCTGGGAGAGGACTCCACACAAACCGACAGAGTGCGCATATATAGAACAAACGCAAGGTGTGTGTTTCCATTTTCGACTCTTGTTTTCTTCTGAACCATAGGATTTCCCGGTGCTAAATCACTTTCGGCGTGGGGATAGACAATTCTTTCACACGGACGACGGTGATATCGTTGGACTTCTTTGCATCGCAAAAGCGCTCGAGGGTGGGGAGTCCGATATCGTCTCAACACACCAGGTGTACAACGGAATCGCCAAAACACGACCGGACGTACTTGAAACGCTCACGAAGCCCATCTGGTATATCGACCGCAAAGGGGAAACCAGTATTGGCCAGGAGGAATATATAAGAGCCTGCATTTTCTACGTCGAGCCAAAGGAGGATGGGCGGGTATTTGCGAAGTGAGCAACAAAACCTCCTCCCTCAAACCATGTGGGGCCTTCCTTTCGAGTCCAAAAATATTTCCACAAAGCATTGATGTCTAATAATAATAAAAATAAAATTGTTTCCACAGATGGGATCCATATTTTGTCCGATCCCTCACCCGCTTTTCCGACAAGGGCATCATCCCTCCATTGTCTCCCGCACAACTCGAGGCGCTCACTGTCCTCGAAGAGACCTGTCTCAGACTCGCCCTCCACATGGTTCTCGACGTCGGAGATATCCAATCCCTCGCTAACTCCCACATCCTTCATGCCCGCACGGAATACAAAGACTATCCACCCCCTGCTCCACGGAGACACCTCATGCGTCTCTGGCTGGCAACACCGGAGAGCGAAGGGGGATGGTCGCTCCCGTTCTGGGACACCAATGAGAAGAAAAGAGGGGAATTCAAGTAAATAATCAGCCCCTGTGGCACTGCTGGATGCGGATTAGAGAGTGTTTTTCGAGAATTTTAAAGGTCGTCCTGTAACTACATGCCAGATATTTACATATTTTTGGAGGTCGATAAGTATTTAGCTGACAGTAATTTTCTTCGCTTAGTATTTAATGCTGTTGTGTCATTGGTCAGGTGGCGCAGCTGCTTGAAATCATGTTGCAACCTCTCCTCTCCCTTTCATCCCAGACATCTAGTTACCATTTCCAGGATGTAGTTTATAGTTAAGAGGTTAGAGGTTGAAATGATAGGGGTTTTATATAGACTACTAGTCCTAAAAATTATTGAAATCATCCGTATGAACTGTCAGAGATTTGATATTCTGGAGAACTCCACAATCCTAACCGAGTGATAGTGATCGGATCATTTGGCCCCAGGGCATCAAAGCCTTTTCCCACTAACCCCGAAGTTTTCCTGCGAAATCCTGAAAGCTCTTGAGAAAAGGTGAAATTTATGACGCAGGCCCCTGGCTAGGGAATCAATTCGGCTCTTTCATTTGAAGTAGTGAATTTATTTTCAGCATCGTGTGGTTAGATAAATTTGTGGGGGTGAAAGGGATATCGTGATGCAGAACATGAGAAGCAATAGCCGTTTATTTAAATTCGTAAACTTATTGATGCACCACACGATGTTTTGCTCAGGTCCAAAGCACCCCCCCCCCCCCCCCCCCCACGGGGTATATATTTCATCATTTGTAAACCATTGACCCTCCCCCCAAAGCCTCCCCAACCCAATCCATCTGCACAGCGCTCACCCACCTTGCGTAACTTCTACTCGTGAACACGTACTCAATATACATAACTGCCTCGACCTTACGGCCGAACAGCACGCTCGATGGATGGATGGCAACAGTCTGGTTGCCAACTATGGTTTTGTAGCTGCCATCAGGGAAGAGGCGAGCAGTGTTGGAAGCAAAGCCAGCTAGGAAGGATTTCAAGATCGGGACAGGGTCTTCTTCCGATGAAAAGATAGTCTGACTATTGCTGTTGGCATTGGTGGCGTCTTTGTCGTTTGGAAGGAGTTTGGTTTGTCGACATTGCGCTATGAGCTGTTTTCGAACGTCCTGTTCAAACAGAACATACCCATCGTTTTGTTAGTCTTGGTGGTTACCTCTCCATGTGAGTAATAGTAGTAGAATTTGAAAGAGAATAATATTTTTCACGTACCATAACCGCCTGCATTGCCCGATGTGAGACGAGATGCCTATTTGCCCATGCCTTCCGATCGGAGGTTTCAGCAACATAAGCCCGTACTGTAGCAAGCATCGTCAGGTGATCCCCTTCTCTTCGATACAGGTCCCGTCGTGCCTTTTCCGCCTCCCCCTTCTTCTCCTCAGACGTTGTATTCAGGAAAATATTCTCAACACTGAGACATGAGATGATATCAATGGCATTGCGTAAGCAGTCAGGCCCGTGTTCCGCGCTGGCGAGCAGTACCCGACCCAGCTGCGCGGTGAGAGGGAGCTTAGCGATTTTCTCGCCAATCACACTGATCTCTCCTGTCTCGTCCAGTGCTTGGATGCTGAAGAGCTGCAGTAACGCTCTCTCAAGGGCTTCCCGGGACGGACGCGTCAGGAAAGGGAACCCAACAATGTCATTCACGCCTCTTGCTTTCATATTCAAAATCGCCTGACTCAAGTCACAACGTAGGATCTCAGGCGTGTTCGCTTCTTGTAGTGCCAAGTAATCCTTTTCTGTGTAAAGCCTGTAACATTGACCTGGAGCCTCTCGGCCTGCACGACCTTTCCGTTGAATCGCTGCAGATTTCGATATGGGTTTAACGAGGAGCGAATCTAAGCCCAGGCGTGTTCGGAATTGTTTCATCTTCGCTTTCCCGCAATCGATGACGTAGCGGACACCGGAAACAGTGACGGACGTCTCAGCGATGTTTGTGGAAAGGATGATTTTGCGGGTTCGCGGAGGAGCTGGGATGAAGACATGTTGCTGCGCTGCTTGCGGAAGAGCGGCGAATAAGGGAAGTACTTGAACTTTTGGCAATGCTGGGTCCATCCCAACGGCGTATTCGTTGACGAGTGCCTCGAGAGATTCTACCGTTTCTTGACCTGTTAGGAATACCAGAATATCACCTGGTAGCGGTTCTTTCATGTGGACCTGGAAGATTGTTTGGAGAGCTGCGTCTACAAAATCATGAACAGGCTCAGGAGAGTAGATAACCTTGACGGGATATTGGCGGCCCTTAATATGGCAGACCGAGACGGCGTTTGACAAGGTCAAGGCTGGGCCGTTGTGGCAAGGAACGTCGCTATTCTTATTCACCTTGCCACTTTCCGAAATTCCATGTTCCTTTGATATCCCACTCCATTCAGAGCCCGTTACATGTTTCTCTTCCTGATTCTTCTTCAACCCTTCTCCAAAGAACCCAATCAAGCTTTCCATATCCGCTGTGGCACTCATCACAACCACTTTCAGCGGCAATCCACCCCTTCCCTCGTTTTTCCCGGAAACCATATTCTTCAGAAACCCCAAAATAAGATCGACATTAACTCCCCGCTCGTGCACTTCATCGACAATCACTGCGCTGTATTTCGTCAACCAAGGATCCGTCAACATCTCTTGAAGCAACATCCCCTCCGTCAAAAACTTTATCCTTGTATTAGGCGATGTTGAAGAATCAAACCGTACCGAGTATCCAACTTTACTCGCAGGGTGCGAATTTCCCAGTGGAGTGCCCATTTCCTCTGCAACGCGTCTCGCCAGGGAGACGGCAGCGACACGCCTGGGTTGGGTGATGGCAATGCATCCACCAACCGTGATATCCGTCATAACGGTCTTTTCTTCCAACGGATCACTGCTATTCATTCCTGAATTTTCTGACTCGCCCTCAACCGGCGCTCCTTTTTTTGTCACTAAAGCAGGGACTTTGACGCTTTTGGGGCGTACCCAATTCTCATCAACCAAAAACTGCGGCACCTGCGTACTCTTCCCGCTGCCAGTCTCACCAACGAGCAACGTGACGTTATTGCGTTGGAGGCTTTTGCGGATCTCATCTGCATGTGGGAAAATTGGCAGCTCTTTGCGGCTTTGATAGAGCAATTTCGCCCGGTCTTTTAACGACGTAGATGCATTATTAGGCGCATGACCAGGACCTCTTCGTCGTTTGTCTCTGTTGTCTCTGGCAACATTTCTTATATTACTCAACTGACGTATAGGTATGACGTTATTGCTCGTAGAGTTATCCTTTGCTACCGGAGCATTCTCAATGGCAGCTGTTGTTGCCGCTGATGAACTTCCATTGCGGAACACCAAGCGCTTTTGATCAGGGCGTTGCTTCCCTGGTCTGGTTGTATCCTCCTTTATTTTCCGTTTCTTGCTCAAATTGGTGCTTTCAGGCGAAAGCAATGGTTTCGCATCACTCTGGTTGATATTGACAGAATGTGGCTGCTGAAGTGATTTCAGGCCCGCATCCAAGCTATTTTTCAATGCTCTCTCTTCTGTCATGATAGAAACAAAATCGAAAGTCCAAGCAGTGTATAATAGGACAATGAAAAGGGAAACGAGTAAAAAGAATCAGAAAAGGATATTCCCATGCATTCATACATTGTATCATTGAGAAGATGGTGTTTCGTCCTTTCATTCTTCTCAGCCCGAGGATTTGATGCTCAGGTGAAAAAAAGGATCAGTGTAACAAAAGTGAAATATTACGGTATTTCAATTACCATATATTACGGAATCGTTTTCTGGGGCTGACTAAGTAACTATCCGTAATTTGCTCTTCCTTAAACTTTTTTGTCCTCATGCTTTTGTCACTCGAGGTCATGCTTTTATCTTCAAACAACAATTGTTATCTTATTAATAATTTGCTATCCTACTGACTTCACTAGGAACTCCAAATCCTCGCCATTTATCAACACCTGTTTTCCTCCCGTGATCATGCTTCAAATAGCTCTGTGAGGCATCGGGGCTGCTGGTTGCAACGAGTCTTTCCTCCTCTGCGACTATCAGATCTCTGCGCCTGTTTTCTGACTGTATGGCGGCGGAGCCAATCGGGATGGATTTCGACTCCATCGGGTCCGTCAATGCTATCTTGATATTTGGAAAGAGTGGCTGATTGACAAAGGTTGAATTTTGGTTTAGAGGCTAGCAGGAGGAGTTAAGGATTACCTTACCGATTGATTTAAATGCTCATATCGCATGAGGGTATCCTCGTGAGAAGCAATCAAAAAAATTGAGTGTTTCATTATTCCGCGTTGGATGGCTCAGAAAATTCCTGAACCGCACCCACAGACTTCTTTTATCGGCCTGTCAGGGAACATTGCTACAGCGTTTGACCAGAGCGACGTCACCATGTGAGTATTGCCGATTTGCTCTCTTTCTGTTTGGGGAATGAGGAAGCTAAACAAGGTTTTCGGGGGGCAGATTAAAAACATCTTAGGATGTAGTCTCTGTTATCTGGAATCCCTAATAAATAGATTGCAATATCGTAATTGCCAGTGTCCCTTTTTGATAATTCCCAGCACAATGGATATATCTCCATAGGGTACAGAGCACATTCTCAGTATAGTCGCGTGTTTCTCATTCGGGATGAAATGCGCACAGACCACTCGGGCCGGCCAACCCCAGATTAAATTTTAAGCTTAATCGAGCCACATACCCCAGACATGTCGTCGACCTTGTGAAACACGCTTCACTCACTTCTTCGCTGCATGTCGTCTTTAAACACTTATTATTCATGCTAGCCAAACGCAAGTCAGAACATTTAAGGCACCTTTCTAGATGTCTTTCACCACACGTGCTAATCAACCTCCACAAATCGCAGCAACACACATGGCATGAAACAGACTGTTATCTCGCCAACAGAACCACTGAATATGAGGACTGAGCCCTCAAACTTGTCACGCGCCCACCGCCATCGGGAAATACACAGCAAAAGTTCCTCGTGTTATTAATATTGATGCCACCAGTCCTTTATCTAGCGAAGGAAGCAGTAAGCCAACCAACGCTACAGATTAGAAATCACGTTTAGCGCGAGAATGAGGATTGGCCATATATCCATCGGTAAAAGGACTCGTGAATTAGAACTGAGCGAGTTCGGATGCCAATTGGATGGGAGGACAGTCGCTCATGATGTCTAGGTCATTTGTGCAAAAACATGTGCGCGTTACAGCATTGTGTAACAGAAAGCAATACAGGTTTATCATTGGTCGAACTTGGACATTGCTTCTGGTCCATTTTCCATGCTCCCAACCCACTCCCTCAAAGCCTTTTTTTTTTTAAAAAAAAAAAAAAAAAATCCACTGTAGCTACCTCTGCGTAATCGAATGATAGTATTGGCTGCCAAGGGAATGAAGGAAGATATTGACAGTCAGAGTGGGGATATGAGAATTATCTGGCATCAGCACTAGCTCTATTGATGAATCTTCGTTAACTCGTTATCAATCGTGATCGAATGGTACATCTGCCATCACGGATGGCCTAGCCTCATGTTCAGCCATGTTGCTGGTCTTCCTGAAAGCAATTACTCTCGCAATTCTCGCTTTCATCGGATCAACTTGGGGACATATTGAAACCTGTGACCATGGGAGCTGCTAGGTTGGGGTTTACCCACCTCCTGTCGAGAGCATGAGCCCACTTGCCGCTCTCGTGTCTCCACTCGTTCCAAGAGTATGGGCATTGTGGTTTACCAAGGGAGTTTGTAGGGACTATCTAATGCAGATAATATTGGCAAACTGAATTTCATACCTGAATGAAGTACAGCGGGCGCCAAAATGAATCGTGAATCTCGGTTAAGGGAATCCTGCTTCTTGCCACCACCAGTCAAGGCATCTTCATGGACAAGGACCTTTTATTTTGGAAGTTGGGGTTATAGTGGGCTGGAAGATGGATGATTCTTCTTCGTGAATACTTAGCTTCAAACCCATAGAGTCCTATTGCGAAGTGGGCCAGGGGTACTTGCGTATTATCTCACATTACCTGTACCACACCTATAACCAATATTAAGGCAGTTAGTGGATATGAGCATTGGCTCGTGTAGCTCATTTTGCGATGCTTGAATGGTATTTATTAGCATTTAACGCTATGCGAAGAGCAACCCATCTCGGATATGGGAGGGTCCATAACTACATAAAGAGGTTAAACAACAAATACACATTCGGTCGAAACCCTGTCGATCGATCTATTGAGAGCCGACCCCTAACAACAGGTATATTTCTTTGTCTGGGGATCTGTGGAGGTAGAAAAACAAGCATGACATTGATCACAATAAAAATAAATAAATAAATAAATTGCTTATTTTCTTCAAAATGACATATCAAGTTTTGTCATTTAGCAAAAGCAGCTCTGAAAACAACTTGTTCCAACAGTCAATTATCTATCAAATAACGACAAACGCTCAAATGATAGTTGTAGAAGACCGTACTTTTAACACCCAAGCCCTGTCCGATGGAATTTCGAACATTCTTCAAATAGCGGTGATTCACTCGAGAGCACCTATTGGAGAGGTCTTATTACGGCTCTAAAAATAATTATGGTATCATCCAATTATTAGCCGCTCGTCGCTGAGCCGTCAAGCGCTGCGATCATCGAATCTCGGATTATAGATAAAATGCCGTCAGTGGTTTTTCCAAACACATACCTTCAATAGAACTGGCATTATGGATATGGATATTAACAGCAGGGGAGCCACCCCCATCACGGCCGATGCTACGCATGAAATCATTGCCTGTTCAATTTTGAGCATGGGAGCTGATATTCAGGCCATGGCGGAGGCATGTCGGAGATCGTATCGTTCTAGAATCATCGTGCCCCTGCAGTCCAACGGCTTGGCAAGGGCACGCGGGTGGAATGAGTGGAAAAGGATATCTGATGAGACGCTGGCCTCACTAGTTACCAAAATTCAGTGAAAAAGCCGTTATCCCAATTTTCCAAGGTTGACCGGGTTGTCAGCAGTGAGCCACGCGTTCCGGATAACGGGAAAGATTCTTTTACGTTGGAAGGTTTGGAGGAGCCATTTCAAACCGGTATTATTCGTACGGTTAACTCTGATCATCCCGCCCGTCATGTTGGCGTTGAGCTGAGACTTTTACCCAAGGAAAAAGCCAGTGAGAAATTCAGCAAAGTGAAACACTGTTCTGGAATAATTATTTTGATATTGGTTAAACATTTAGGTGCATTTTCTATTGAAGTTTCCGAAGGTTACACCGAGAATCCCCCCAAAATAACTCGACGTGCTGGGTTAAAGGTGTCAAATTATGCAATAGTTTAATGATTAGCAACAGGGAAACTCCGGTCGTCGTTAATATTCTAATCCCACCTGCAGCGGCGGTCCATCGTAACATTATTCCAGGGGGCCGAAACTGATGCGGACACAGCAATTCCCGGTGAGTTGGGGGTCAACCCGTATATTATCGGGGAAATGCTGTGCATGAAAGAGGGATCTTCCTGTGGTTAGGGGTCCTTAAAAATCACTGATAATTTGTTTGGGTTCGACTGTCATTGCTTAATTTTTTTTTTTTTTTTTTTTTAATCAAAGTTACACCCGGTATACCAGCCATGCTCCGTATACGAGCGGCGGAAGTGGGATCTTCAGGGTTGAATCAAACTTCATGTTTTCGTACCGACAGGGTTAGTAAATAATGAAAATGAAAAGAAGCTTTGAAACATGCGCCTGTTTTTAGAGCAATCTCGACAGAATGTAAGGATACTTGGTGGTCTTATTCCCCACTGTACTGCTGGATGTTCTGTGTCCATGGAAGGGTAGGTAATGCGGAGTAACTAACAATGGCTGGATACCAGAAGGATACCTCCTCTCAAGTGCTACCGCAACGCAGTCTGTAATCAACGACACTGCTGCACCTTACACCGCCCAAAATGCCGGCCGCGGATTCTTGCATGTTGGATGTAATCATAGAAAGTTTTAAGTATTTTCAACCCCACCAGCCTATGGGATTCGGCGGCTTGTGTCAGTTGATGCTTATCAGGCCCCATATTTCGTCCCTAGGTTGTGGGTTTGCTTCGTTGGGGGTTGACTGGCTTCTTTCGAATCCCTTTGGCTGTCGTCTGAGAGGAATCTCCACATCACCTGCATTGGGTTTAGGTCAGCCGTCGGTCACATCAGCATCATCGAACCTAAATACATCATCACGTCAGCCAACTTCTGGCTCTCCCCAAAGCAATCCTCTCCTTGTTTTCCCCCCGTCTCGGGGATATTGTTTATTTCTTATTTTTATTATTATTCCTGCTTATTTACTTCTCTGAAATGCTTGATCTTATCCTCTAACTTTTTATATCTTTCACATAAATTCTCAGGTTCCTTCCTCTTCTCTACCCCATCTCTCTTATCTTATACTACGTGTATATCCTCGGATGAACGTCTCACCTATTCGACGCTACGAGAGACAACGAATTCTCCATTCACGCCCCTCGTCAACCTCTTCCGACTGACTACATCTGCTATAAATCATGGCATTTCTCCTACCTACACATCCTCCACAAAGACAGCAGCCATATACCAGTGCTTCCCAGCGGTCCCTACTCCAGATCCCGTCCACGACTGCACACCACTATCAAGCCCAACAACAACTAGACGAAGAGTCGATAGAATGGGTCCTCTTCTCCCCCTCTAAAGCTGGCTCAACCACGGCTCGCAGCCATACTACCTTTACAGAGCGAACCCGGCGCACCGCTGGCCTGTCACGGGTCAGTGATTTCGGGTCATTGGACACCACAGCCCAATCAGAAGATGATGAATCTGATGGAGGAGAGTTTGAAGATGATACCACAGAGCTTGACAGTCTGGATGATGGACTGCGTGCCTTCCGCGAGCCTGTTATTTACAGGGCAACATCCGTGCACGCTGCCAACGCTCCCCAGGCTGTCCACGATGATTCTGCCATTCTCCCTGCTCATGATGGTCTGGGTTCATTTCCAGCCTGTAGCCAGGATGTTCAGAACCAACTCTGGCAGCATGAACAATACAATCTGCGGCGAAGAGGGGAATGGAGGCATCGAAGGCGGTCTAGTGTCCAGAGACATTTGGATGCTTTTGAAGAAATACAGGCTCGCGAAATAGAGTATGATAGATGGCAGCGCATTGAGCAATGGAGAATGGAACAAAGTAGAGCCTTGTTGCAGGAGATCGAGAAAGAGACGAGACGGAGAAGGAATGGTCGTGCAAGCTACGGTAGTGAAAGATTCGTGGCCCGACAAATCTCCAGGAGCGATTTCGGTGATGCCATTTTGGAATCTTGTTTTCATCAGACTGATCCTCTCACGACTGGTGATAGCGGGGTAGTAGAACCGCAGGATGATACCGAAGCCGACGAGTCGTTCTGGAGGAGAGTAACGCGTAATGTTATTCGAGATTTGATTGGTATCGATGATTCACTTCTTTCGGTCATTTTGGGAGAGACATTGGTCACGATGGATAAAGACATGCAAGATCAAACATCAACAACCTGTGATCATACAGATTCTACAGTGGGTGGTTTAAGTGGCTCGTTGGACATGGACCAGGCCATGAGAAATGTGGATGATGCGCTGCAAACCGATGATACCTGGCATGAGAGACTCCTAGAGCGCATTGCTCGTGAACTGGGCATTCTTGTCCATCAATTGTGTGAACACCCAGGTGCGTTCAGCACCTATGTTCGCACTTCTTCGTCTATCACAAACCAGTATGCCGGCATTCCTATTTCTCTTTCTCCCTCCAATTCCACGTCATTTGTCACGCAGCCACCTCTCTCGCACAACATGTCCAACAATACAGTATCGAATGTTCCTTCAGCATACTCCCCCCAATATGAATTCAAGCCGACCCTTCAAGATGCTGCTGCCACTCATCACACCGCTCTCTTCGGAATTGAGGAACAATTACCTCTCTACCATTTCAACCCAAACATGCAGACAACATCAATAATTCCCACAAATGCACAATCCAGATCAGGCGAAACCCCATCCGATGCCGCCCTCCTCGAGCGCGAGCGTGAGTACTGGGAACGCGAACTGGATATCAAAATGGTCTTTCACTTCCTCCGCAACCGCTTTAGGAAAAACATCCCCTTCACAAATAAAAACAGTTACAGCAGCGCCTCACCATGTCATCACAGCTCCACATCCACTGCCCCCGCAGACATGACCCACTACACCTGTTCAACAAATCAACAAGACCCATCCCTCCGCGCTGCCATAATCCGCCAACACCACCCACTCGTTGCGCGTGCCCATGCCCGTTCACAATCCCAAATGCAACGGCCCATGACCAGACAAACACGACAGCCTCCAGCGTCTGTCTCTAGCTCCGCTGCAGCGGCAGGGGGCAGTTCGATCCTGCGCCATCATATCCGCTACACCAGCTCTAGTTGTGCGAGCCAGAGCTCGAAGGTGTCCGTTGTCTCTGCTAAGCGGACGATGGCGGTTGGTAGTGGGTCGAGTCGACATTACTGGGATATTGGGGGGAGTTTCGGGAGTGGAAGCGTGGTTGTTTCGTCTGTTGGAGGGATGGGGAGTTGGGGAGATGTCTGAGTAATGATATTATGAGGTGTTGGGGTTTGGGGGGACTTTTTTATACCTATTTTATTTATATTATTTTTATTCTTGGATAATGCATTACATGCGATACATTTTCCGCTCACCATTCATGTGATTTTCCCCTTATCTCTTATGGCCTAGCTTAGCCTTTGCCTGACCTGCCCTTTCATATATTCTTCGCGTGCGCATTTCTTCTCAAGGTACTTGTCGCATGCTCATTGAGTTTTTGAGGAAACGTCTGTTATTGTTATAGGTATTGGTTTGGGAGGCTCCAGGTGGGCTGGGAAGGGGAACGAAACCTGAACATGATTTCTTTAGGTTGAGAGGAGGATGGCGCGGAAAAAATGAGTGCATTTTAATTCATTGGTATATTTAAAGCAGGATAATATGGCGGTTAGCTCCACATTTTTTGTTTCAATAATAGCACATGCACAGATACCACTCCCGACACATAATTTACACGGGCTATACATTCCACTCATATCCGTGCTCCGTTCCCACTTAGGGTTTGTCTCTCTGTCGAAACTTCCAGTGTACAGTGTACTATTGAATGCCAAATCTTCGAAAATTTGCGGTACCCAATCCGCTCAATGCCCAACAGCAGACAGCTTCTATCGGAGTGGGACTCCTATTGTTCTTAACATATATAGGTCTTTAAGACAGGTAATGGCTTTAAGAGGTTGGTCTTAAATATGTCCTTCCACTGCTTCCACTCCGACGACAACAATTTTTTGCATTTGTGCATAAAAGTTACGAAGAATATCGCCACTAAAAAGCTCTCACGTGAATTTAAAAAATAAAATAAAAATAAAATAAAACAATAAAAATAAATAAAAAACTTGACTTCCAGTCCAGTAACAAGAAGAATCAGGAGATAATCGACCAGCCATGACGCTGCAACTCCATACCCTTTGTATCCCAAGTGGCGGAAGTTGCCTTGACTGGAACGTGTATGTTCCGTATAGCCCGGGGTCATCGACTTCTTGTACCCTATGACGTCTAGGCTGCTGAATCAGAAGATTATCATTTAATAATGGGTCCGGAAAGGTTCCCAACCTTTTCGCGAAGATCTAGATGTGCGTGAATGGGTATAACAGGAGGTGGAGGGTAGATCGTGGTTTTAGAGAACGGGGGCGATTATTACTGCGTCCAGGAGAACTTATAGTTCTATGTTGAGGGGTGGGAAGACTGGATGTGATTTATTGTACTGGGGTCTAGCAACAGTGGGACTTAATAGATATGGGTAGGTGGCCACGGTGGCTTCTCCGTACACTGCACTGACCTCGTGCAGAGCAGCTGGGATACCTAAGAGTGAAAGATGGGCCAGGGTAAGTTGTGAGAATTTTGAGCTAGACATGTTGTATGCGACGATTTTCCGTCCAGATCGTCTGTACGTTAGCAGGTGCTTGAGTTATACATGTGGTTTATTTACGTTGTTAACTTTCTCTACGCATGCAAAAGTTCCAAGGACAGTTCAACAATTCCAAATTCATAAAACGTACAAAAAGGTAGACGCCCTAGGATAATATTCCTTTTCTTTTATTTGTTTGGAAATTTAGATTTGTGTGATAAACAGGGAATAAAAAACAGTGATAAAAAAAAAAGGCCACTTCTTTCCGTTCATTAACAGATCTATACCTGTGAAAGATTCTCATATGCTTCTGGGAACCGCTTCATGTTTTCCTCAATATTACCCTTATTTCTCAAGAATTGGACGTAAGCACCATCAATCTTAACACGGCCCTCCTGTTTGAGGCGGACGTACTCCTCCCGTCTGAGAGGGGTGAAGCCCCAGTTTTTGCTGACAATGATCTTCTGGCGACCGGGGAACTTGTACATGGAGCGTCGCAGGGCCTCGACAGCGGTGGCGCGGTGGGCATCACGGGTACGAACGCTAAGAAGGATCTGGCCGATGTTGACACGGGCAACGGTGCCGTTGGGCTTACCGAAGGCACCGCGCATACCGGTTTGGAGTCTATCGGCTCCGGCACATGACAACATCTTGTTTATACGGACGACGTGGTATGGGTGGGCACGGACGCGGAGGTGGAAACCTTCCTTACCAGCGATCTTGACGAGGTATCTATATTTGTGATATAATTGTTAGCAAATGGAACTAGGTGCGTATAATAGATGTCCATTGGCGTGGCGAGGCTTACTTGTTGGCACAGATACGGGCAGCTTCGAGAGCTTCAGAGCTCAACTGTTCGTACTCGTTGGACACCATGTGCACACACAGAGGGAACTCATCGACATTGGCCTTCTTGCGACCGAGATCGAAGATACGAATCTTCGGGTCGGGCACACCGCGGTTGAAGCGGGATTTGGGGTATGGCTAAAATGGATGAATATTATTAGTGCGTCATATAAAAACGATTCCCATGTTTCTCATTTTCATCAACAATTTCGTTCGCCACATCGCATCGCATTTCAACAAATAAATATCTCATTGCTACGAGCTGGTAATACAGAAGCAATTTCAACAGAACCCGTTGGCGACCAGTTCTCTCGGTTGGCGGCGTAGTTTCGGTCGCCTTTTCCCCACAACGATGTGTCCGTCGAAAATCAAAAGGGACAAATGAAAAAAAAACAGAACAGAAGTAGCATCGTACCTTATTCTTGCAGTAACGGTAACATCTGGCTGGACGACGAGCCATTTTGTCGGACAGTCGATGGTAAATGACAGCAACTCCTGCGAACCGGATGATGTATGTTGAAGATGTCGTCGTCGTCGTAGTGGATTGCTTTTAAAGACTTGGAGGTTTTGCCCTTTTTGATTTCCAAGCATCGCGGCTAGTGAGATCATGTGATAAACCCTAAACCCTAACATCTGGTTTGGGAAATTAGATTAATAATCCATCCACTGTGAGTCACATGACATCAATTTTCTCTGTCAAACAAGGTTGGATCCCATTGTCGATTCCATGGTTTGGTTGATGTTCTGGAAACCATTTCCAACAAGACATTCATTCGCCAGGAACTTTACTCCATCTTTTCCGCCAGCAGATATGCTCCAGGTCCTGCCTTTGGAAGACAAAATCGTATAAGGGACAGGAGAGTTAGCATTCAAGCTCGAGACTGGTAGATAGATGCCAGATGCCCAAATCTAGATCCCATGGACGAATGTCCCATTTATTAACAGTGGTAGTTACCGCAGGAGGCAAGCTCCCGGTTCAAATATCTCGAAGTTCATACATTCATACAAATACATACCAACGTCTAACTGATAAGGATCAATCTCTCTCCCAATTTACTCCTCCAAACGTTCCCTGGGAGAACCACTGGTGACCTGTGCCTAAACGGGTATTTGGAGAAAGCAACCCGGTAATTAACGAGGGCATGACTAGGCGCACTTAGGGCTTCTCAACCTTTGGGTTAGCACATGGATATACGTACGATTGATTGGTTGTGGCTTGAGCTTTTGAGCACATAGCAATCTTTCACTGGAAAAGATTCTTTCAACATTAAAGACGACAAAATCGATGCACGATGAGGTGCAGATAAGGAGATTTGAAAAGAGTATTGTCATTAAAAACCTGACAGCCCTATACCAAAACCCCAGAACCACTCAAATCCTGATACAAACGTGCAAGCGGGGTGTTCTCGCTCAGTTTGGCTAGAAAGCATGCGTAACGCCGCGTGTTCTTCCAACTTTGGGATTAGCACTACTAGTGAACAGGATTCCAGCAATTTTTCTCAATGAAGCAATTTCAATCTCTAGGATGTTTTGTTCCTCATCCTTCTTCAGTTTTATTATTGGCCCCCGTTTGGTGCAGTTCTATCCATTCGCAGGCTGTTCCTCCTTGGCCTCCAAATCAATTCGCATGCCCGAGCGTTCGACGCTAAAATCGGCACCACATGCTACTCGGACATTGGAGCTCGGTATAACTATACGCAGCACGCTTCGCCCGAATCCATTCTTTTTCCACACAAGTCATAGTCACCAACAGTAATTCCGAGAAACGTCTCAAGAATAAAACTGAGAAGGAAATTTATGAGCTTCTGACAAAGCTTGTGGGAACCATGTTTTCTGTGCAATCGTCCTTAATGGCGTGAGAAATGGGTCCTTGCCAGATTTCAAGTGGCCTGGCCGGTGGCCATTCACTTCAAATGCTTTAACCTCGAATGACTCATGAAAAATGGGTCATGACCCATCAACCCACAGCGACTCTTGTCCGAGAACCTAGGGATACCAAGTTACCAGGGATTAACGTTTATCGTTCTCGGATCTTTGGGTTCAATGCTTCCAGTTCCTGATCTGGTCCCGAGGGACCTCCCTATTGTCTACCCTGGGAGTTCATGACGACATGGTGGCAATCTGATAATTGCAGGGACTACATTAGTTCCTTCGGCAACTACTATTCTCCGATGACCCTTCTTTTTTCTATCCATTTCCCCCCACCCCTGCTTCTCTATGTTTACTCGGCTGTGCCTATGCTTCTAGATGGAATGAATAGCAGCTTAAAGTTGCCCCGCTAGACCCGGAGATGCTGAGGAGGAAATTGGAACATGCCCAGCATCTTGCCCGATGGCCAATTGTTGGTGCGGATCTAGCCAGATACATATCAGAAAACCCCCTTCTCCTGCTGGCTTCAGGTACCTTTCTTTTTTCTTCCATCTCTTCCTTTCGATCGGATTAATTGGCTCAGGCCTTATGCGACAAGCTGTCCCCTGACTGCTGCCTTTGAACCAGCCAGTGGAATTAGTGCACTGATCGCCGGTTTGTCATTAATGCTGGTCTTATTATTTATCATATCATCTAACCCTACCAACTTGTTATTGATAAACCGCAAATCTGAAGCTGTGCTGGCTTCCATTGGCCCTGGTGGCCTCGGTCGCCTTGGCCACATCTGCAAAGTCTGGCGTTGAAATACGAGCAGATTCGATTGCCGATTTGCCAAAATGCGCCGTAGGTTCCTCAATTGCAGTCACCCTGCTATGAGACGTGATGTTTCCGAGGATTTCCAACCCATCGTACACATCCTAACAATCAAAATTATCATAGACGAGATGTTTGAAGCAACTGGAGCCAGAATTCCTGTGCTTGGCTCAAGACCCAACATGTGCTTGCTCGAACGCCAATTTAACATCTGTTCTCGAAAACTGTATTCTGGGTCACTGCAAAATTAAAGAATCTCTCAGTAAGAGCCCACGCGATGCTGATACTGCAGCGAATTCCGTTAGAATGGCTACTGACCATGAAATAAAGCGGCGAAACGTATTTCGGAGAAGAGTTGCGGACACCCCGAACGGGACAGAACATCTTTGATTTTAATCAGTGGAGTGGTGGGATTTGCCGTTTCATTTACTGCATTTCTCCTACGCATGATATCGAAGTTGCCGTATTTCGGTGGACAGTTTCACTCAGATGACTGGGCCATTTCTGTCTCCATGGTGAGGCTTTCAACCGATCTGCTAGAATCCATCCTCTCCAACAATCTACTTACGATTCATTAGGTATTCGGGATACCTCTGGGCCTTTTAGCAGTTACTCGTAAGCACCTGCTCGTCATCAGCAATGGAGCTTCCATTATAACTTGGACGCCATTCCAAAATTCTGTAGTTGCCAATGCCGGTCTGGGGAAAGATATATGGAACGTTCCCTTCGATGATATTACTTATATTCTTAAGGTGTGCCGTTCCACTACATGTCTTGCCAACCCAGTGAAAGTATGGTCTTTACTAACAATTTCCCCCGTTGCGATGAATCATATAGATATACTTCGTACAAGAAGTAATGTACTTTGCGACGATAAACATAACGAAAGTATCCATATTATTTTTCTACCTGCGGATCTTTCCTTCTCAAAATTTCAGAATCGCGAGTTGGATTGTGATGGGCACCACCATTGCATACGGTCTTGCTCTCATTCTTGCAGCATTGTTTCAGTGCACCCCAGTCGACATGGCCTGGAAGAATTGGGACGGCGAACATCAATCAGCCAGGTGCAGCAACATCAATCTGATCAGCTGGATGAGCGCGGCCATAAATATTGTTTTGGACGTTGTGGTTATCGCAATGCCGGCTTGTGAGTTATTTGGATTGTCTCTATCGATGAAGAAGAAGCTTCAAATTCTACTCATGTTTGGTGTCGGATTTTTGTTAGTTTCTCTGCTCTCCTCCCCCTTTTTACAGACAGAACATTTGAGGCCCCTATCTAACCACCAAGAACACATACCAGCGTCACAATCGTCAGCACTATCCGCCTTCAATCTTTGCTCCGATTCGGGAATTCCCAGAACATAACCTGTTGGTCCCAAATCCCCTCACAATATACTACCCCTTTTTCTTGCGCCCCATTCTTACTTGACATCTCACAGGGGATCACGTTCCTGCTGGCTACTGGAGCACGATTGAAGGTCATGCCAGCATATTATGTGCTTGCATGCCGGCCATCCGCGTTCTGCTTCGCAAAATCTTCCCATCACTATTCGGTGACAGAACTGGCGCCTCGTCTAATGGCACCAAGGGTGCCCGTAATAACGGTGGGAATTACATTTGTAATAATGGTGGAGGCAGAGTGTTTTCTTCAAACGCAGCTGGTTCGCAGTCACCGTGCTCTCCGCATGTGAGGAGTTCGCCTGGGAAGGATGGACAGGTATTTTTCGAATCAGATATATTCCCGCTGGTCGAGAGGGGAGATATAATGCGCGAACTTGGGTTTGGGAGTTATACGGTTATCAGGAGTGATAATAATAGATAACGGGCTTCCATCTTTCGTTTCTCCGACACTATAAAGACTCCATTTCTATGAATACACATTTTAAATAAGTTCTATAAGTTCTCACTTTGTGATTTTGACTTAACGGATTTTATCATTTCAGGTACAGTTGAACTAGGAAAATTGAAACGTAGGTAAGCGACTGCTTGCCATCCATTGAAGTGATTTCAAGCATGGCATAGCCATTAGAATATTTGTGCATTTTGTGATAATTCCCTTGGTATCCTTTGGTGTTTTATTATCTCATGTCCGGTTCTACACTTAGGTAGCTTATACAGTACATACATGGATAAGACCAGATCGAGGAGATGACAAAGTAGCTGCAAAGACCACTATCTCTCTCCACATCAAACACTAAGACCAACAGGTCACACGGTACACTACCACTTCCAGTAGCAAGAAGAAGCAGGAAAAAAAAAATAATATCCTCAATTCAAAACCCCCTCCCCATCCCTTATGAGATTTCCATTCAAGCAGTAGTGCCAGAGAGGATATCGGAGTCACCGGCATCCAAGATGGCCATGGTGGAGCATCTGAAGAGCTTTCCGCAGGCGGTTCCAAGCTCAATCTGTAAAAATATGAAAAGGATTCCATAATTCCCGACCCCCCGTTGGGGGAGTACGGAGATAAAAGGGATGAAGTATTGTCAGCGTGTGATCGTTACCCTCCGAAGCTTTGTTGTTTGAGGATACATGGTAAAGCTTCTTCGCTGGGTAGACATGCTACATTTTTTTCTTTTTTTTTTTTTTTTTTTTTTTTTTTTCATGATCCGGCTCAGAGCTCGAGCTCCACTCACTCAACCCAGTGGTCTTTTGGGCTCGTGGAGCCTGACGCCAGTTGTCGTGTTGGCAGCAATGAATTTGGCGCTTGTGAGTTGGGTCGAGCCGAGCCGGTCGATGTAGCATGCAGGGGAATGTATGAGACGAGAAAAGAAGGGGAGGGGGGTGGGGTTTGGAACAGTTAGCTTACGTTGTTTCCGGAGAAGTGGTGGACGCTGGTCTTGGAAAGCATGGAGTAGTCTAAAGGAGTCGAAAAAGATATCATTAGCATCATTGCTACTTCACATCTCGTCATACATACTCATCGAGAATATATGAGGGAAAAAAAATGGTGGGGTATATTTTCTTACATTCAAGTTCGCTCTTGCGGAGGGGAGGAGTGTTGCCGGCAATAATGACGAGCTTGGCCTTGCCGGAGCGGAGGGCCTTGAGGGTAGACTTGTAGCCAAGTGTGACTATATTGGAATATGAATCAATCAGTCACGGATGTTCGTCACGTTGGAAATCCCAAAGGGTGGCTGTATTTATTTTTTTTAAAAAAAGTTATATTCATGGAGTTGGACTCACCCTTGCCAGACTTCATCACAAGCGCAAGGCGCGAGTTGATGTTCTCGGCGCTCTTCTTAGCCTTCTTTGGTGCCATCTTAACGCGATTAGAATGTCAAAAGACTTTCTAAGTGTGTACAATTAAAACTTGTGGGTTTTGCGCTCCGGCACGGAATGGATGTCGCAGGTTGCTATATCGAAGAGGTTCAGATGCTGGATGTTTCTTTTCCAGCGAAATTTGGGGGTGTATTTTGTTGTGCGGGAAGCGGACCGAGGGGAAATATTTTTCCGGTTTAACTAACGCAGTTAACAAAATGCGTTGGAGGATTCCCCGGCTACCCGAGGTCACGTGCACCTATATATATTTCTGTTGGACGTCTGAAGTGATTGTATTTGGTAGCCTATCTCAGGGATGCTATATACTACTGTGCAGTGTGCTAGTCCATAATAGGAAGCCTAGGCTCCAACAGTTTATTAGTAGTAGCTAGCTCGTTTAGAGTCCCAATGCAACAAGGTTGATATCGGTCCTCTAAGAAAATGTTGTTGATTATGTAATCATACTCGGTTCCAAAGTTATGCAGGTGATTTTGATGTGAAGTATTGTATATTGTCTTATCTAAGGTATACATTACATTGAATGCCACGTAATTACCAGCGAGGTCGAACGCCTCTTTACTCGCTAGCTGCATCAAACCTCAAACATTTAGCCCTTCCTAGGAAAGAGAAATTCCATTGTGCTATATCAACCACCGGAAGGAGTCAAACACTGAATGTGTGGAGAGCAGTGGATGGGTTCGCGTCCATTGATTCCAGGGCGGGAGGGCATATCTATATCTCCTCTATCAGGAGGATGAAACCCCTAGCCGAGAAACAAAACCTGAAAAGTAGCTGGAAATTTGCGGCAAGGTCATCATTCGTCCAAAAAATCTGCAGGATTCTCATTTTTCAAGAGTAAATCAACAACAAATGCAACATCTCTCAATCCCAGCTAGACAGTCAGCAGCCGCCATATGTTTGTCAGCTAGCCAACATCTCGACTCTCTGTCGGTTCCAATCTTCATCGACCAGACAGAGTTAATGTTGGTTCTGGATGGAGTGATTGCGATCGTTGTTGCAACCACAAGGTAGGTAAAGACATGTTCTCAGCTCAAAAGGAGAATAGTTTTGCTTGTAGGGAAAGGACTGGTAGAATTTGCTGCGTTATGTATTTCTAATGGAAAGCTGGGTTCATCCTGAGGGTCAAGCCGGAATCATGTGAGGTCGTCAAGAGGCTGAACTGCTTTTGGCATTGTGACCACATCAGCATAGCCATCCATCAGCGTTTGTCGATCTAATATAAGATCTCGGGGACTGCAACATACGAGCCGCAACGTAGGGAGGTCGGGAGACGAAACAGAGGGTAAATGTCCACTCCACCAACGAAAGTCAATAATAATATCACAGAAAACAACCCTTTGTGCATAGGGAGTAAAAAGGTATCTGTATTGTCATAACTTTCAAGCTATAGCCGAAACAAAAACATATGCTAGTGGCGAAAGAGCTTCATAGAGTAAAGAGAGGGATTTGACATGGATAGTAGAACAGGGGCAGGTGGAAACATGGTAGAAACATCAAAGAGCCGTAGTCACGCATCAGAAAAGAGTGGTGAGGGAAGAGCAAAGATGCCCCTGTTGATTAATAGACAAGCTGTCCAAGACGTTCTGGGCCGGCCAAACCACAGAGACCCAGAAGGAAAACGAAGGGGCATCTCCGGACTTCTCCAAAGAGCGTAACTCTCTTTCTAGCCTTGTTTGGGGACAGAAATAATAGTTCAATGTTGGAAACCTGAAGGAAAGCCAAGAACGGGGGGAATAAACTACCCCTACGCGCTTTGGAAACAAAACACTATTAACTCCGCGGCACCGCAGTTTGCTATCGGCTGTTTGCAAATATACCGGCTGCCCATGCTCCATAACCCATGCATCAGGCCATCATCTATGGATATCTGTATTGACCGTCTCGTCGTGTTGTTGGAGATCAACTGCCAACGGAAGCCTCTAGGTTGAAGTCTGGCTTAGTCATCTATTCTTCTAGCTCTTGGAACGGATCACGTGCTGCAGATTCGATGTCCAGTAAAACACGACCTCCGAAGCTGATTGGCTGATAATAAATTAGTACGTCCCAGAAAGGAATAGCGTGCCAAGGCTGGCTGCTGGGAGATTACTTCGTATTATTACCGCGTCATGATATTACATCCTGGACTTTGCGGGGGCTGTGTCACGATCCGTAACTGCTGTCAATTTGCTGTCCGTTCCGGGTATCGAAACGTAATGCACCGTGTCCAAACGCGCATTGGATGAGGTCAGCATCCCGTCTTGGGAAATACATGTTAATATAAACATGATAAGCAGACAACAACGACGTTTTATTTATTTTTTTTTGTTTGAAATTTCAACTCATCATTCACTATGACCCTATGTCCTTGAACTTTCACTCGAAGAATATCCTGCTTTTCCTGCTATTCTGAATTTGTCCTCGACCTATTGTCAGCTGCCACCCCTTCGGGATACTTTTTTGGGCATCAAGCTTGGCCAACTCACAGCCTCAATCAACCCACTCGTTTCCTCTTCTTTGACACACCTCACTCGACTCTTTCAGCCTCGATAGCCCCCGTTTCAATCAGGCTAGTTTTGACCGCCCTTTTCTTTATTTTTCTTTATTTTTCTTTATTTTTTCTTTTTTTCTTTATTTTATTTTATTTTTTTTTCTGGGGGGGGGGGCTTTCAAGCACATGTGTGATTCGCGTCATTCTCTCTCCTTTGCATAACCCGAAGTCATGTCAAACTCTTCAAAAAAGGCGTCTTTTGGCGGAGCGGGTCATAGATCTTCAACCACCGATGCTACAGCAACCTCACCAAGCAGTCGAACTCCCCCACAGTCTCCGCACTCTTCGGTGAACGGCCTAGGACGGTCCCCTTCTACGAGACAATCTCCCGGTCCCGTCTCCGCCCGAGCGGCGGCGCGTAAACCGGGCGCAGGTCGTTCGAATCTCAGCATGAGTTCAGTTCCCAGGCACCCTTCAAACCCCGCAGACGATGACGCGAGAGCTCAGAATGCTGCCATCATCGACGAGCTGAAAGAACAGGTTAAGAAAGCGGAAACCGTGTCAGATCAGTACCGGAAGCAGTTAGGCGTCTTGCAGTTGCGACTCGATGAAGCAGTTAGCGAGCAGTCAAGACTAGAAGAGCAGGCACATGAAAGGGATGTCTCGTTAAATGCGCTTCAGGTGGAGGTCAAGGAGCTCACGAGGCAAATCCGCGACTTAGAGCAAGCTCATGAGGCTGAACGAACTGGAATGGCTGAGGAGAAAGAGCAACAGAGAAAACGGGAAGGGGATTTGCAGTCAACCATCCAGCGCTTGAAAGAAACTATTGCGCAAAAGGAACTCCGCATGAACGTCGAGAATGATCGAAATCTCTCCCGATCTCGTAAGTTCCTTATCTACTTGGATTTGATATGTAACAACCCCACGAATACTAACGCTTTATTAGCCAGTTTTCGGAAAAGAGCCTCAGCAGACCTCGAAAATGGACAATTTGCGCCATCTTCGCAGCTCCAGCGCAGTCCTTCCCGAAACAACTCGAAGCTGATTTTACAGAAGGACAAACTCATCGAATCCCTGAGGCTCGAGTTAGCGGAAGCCCAGATCAAACTAGTCGAAATGGAAAATATGGGAGGTGGTCGCCACCATGAGTTGGAGCGGGAGCTTCTTGAAGCAAGAATGGCAAACGCCCGTCTGATGGAAGATAATGAGAGCTACCAGCTTCTTTTGAGTGAGAAAACGCTAAATGGAGATTTCTCCAAGGGAGATTTCATGCATGAGAACTTTCAGGAAAACCAACAGGCGAGCAGCGGACTTGGATCACTTGCGGATGAACTTGACTCGGTTGGTGAAGGTGGAGATGCTGACTCTCGTCGACGACTCGAAGGAGAAATCAAAACCCTTAAGGATCAAAATAAGGCCTTAACCCTTTATATTGAAAGAATAATAGGCCGCCTCCTCCAAACCGAGGGATTTGAACATATTTTAGACAAAAATGACACTGAACGTCCTGGTTCGGTCACGGCTAAACATGCCAATGTCGACAAGGACCTGCCTCCCCCTCCTGGAGAGAAGACCGAAGGTGCCGGACAGACATTGCTTCAACGGGCAAGATCCGTTGTGTCAGGCCAAAGCACCCGACCCAAGCCCAAGCAACGGACTGCAAGCAATCTCACGCAGTCATCAACAATCGATGAACCTCATATCGAGAGCCAGCCTACCATGAATGAGAATCCTGATACAGCGCCAAGTATTCCCATAGGACGTTCAAGACACCGAAGGACACGATCGGACCAAGCGGATGGAGCCGCTGCTGCGGTCGTGGGTCAGATGTATCGTGGTCCCCTGTCCAATGGCCCAATGAGTCCCGGAATTAGCCCTACATTCTCCTCGGGGCAAGGTGCGTTCTTCTCCAGCTCTAACATGGCGGCAAAACGCTCCTCTGTCGCCGTTGGCTCTGTTTCAAGCAGACGCGTGAGCACCCCGCCTAGCGTGAGGAGCGATCGCAGTGGTGAGGTAGCCTCAACAACCGAAAGCACATCCAGTCCTCCACTTTCAGGCCCGGGAATGAACAACTATACTGGCGCAGTAATGACGCAGAATAAATTGCGACCGTTGCGTCTTGTTCAGGAAAACAAGGAGCTGGAAGGAGGTAATGAGCAGGCTGCTGATGAGGAGGCACGTAAGAAGGCGAATCGCGGAAGCTGGATGTCCTGGTTCAATCGTCCTGGTCAAACGGAGCCTCTTCCTGGTGTTGCCTCGGCCATATGAACTGCCTTCAAGCCCCTTTCAAGCCGTTACATCTTGTTTTCCTTTCGGTCTAGCACCTTTTACGCCTCATGACGGTTAATTTTCTCTTTTCTATAGCTTCTTCCTTGATATCGTTGTGCATGTTGGATCTACTCTTAACGGCCAATTTTTATTATACAGACCAATTTGAGATCATGTGGAAGTCACAGGTTTTTGATTGCATATATCATTTCTCTCATGACTTCTCCCGCTTTCACATGTCCTTTGCTTCTAAGCTCCCAATGTTGATATCTACATTACAGCATATATGGTTAATTTCTTCTTGGCCAGATATTACTGCCAGTGTCTTATATGAATATTCTAGTTCATATGTTGGGGAGTCGCATGTCGTGGTTTAGGATAGATGTTGTTGGCGTTGCCCTCCCCTCCAAAGACCCGTTCACGTTATAATTGCCTATAATCCCCCAGTGAAGGTTTGGGTATTGCTGTTCTAGTGTCTTGCCTTATTGGATTATATATTCTCCTTTTTCTTTCTCACCCTTCTCTTCCCAACCCTTAGATATGAATTATTATTATTGACGTACTCTACGTTGCATTGTCGTCTAACTTCGATACGACCCCTAACCCCGTTGTTTTCTAGTCTATATATTCAGCGTAGAGAATATCTTACACTCTTTCCGCTTTTCCTTGTAATCCTGCGTTTTGAGACCTATTACAAATTTCTTCGCTTGATACGAATCTTTTGAGAGGGTGGGAAATCTGTAGTTTAAACATAAACAATCTTAACTTGTCTCAAGGAGCAACGGCTTTCAGTGCTAGAATCCCATTTGATCTAATATTTGCAAATCATATACATACACACTATGCCTATAAGGTATGCCAGATCTAGTATTTATCATAGAAGCAATAATGGTTGTTGATATATATGAGGACGTATGTAGGAGTCTTACCAGACAGAAAAAGGGGGTCCCAACGGGTGGATTCTGCATCACGTGATATTTCGACAGCTCATTGTTCGGGAGAGGAACTTCGCTCTTCGCAACCAAATTATCATCTGAACAATCCTAAATATCCACCACGAATCCCCATTGAAAAAAAAGAAAAAAAGAAAAAAAAAACGAAAAATACACAATATCACAACAGCTAAAATGCTGGCCCCAATATCCCTTTTCTCCGTCAATGCGATCCTCATCATGTCCACGGACGACTCGTCCCGGATCTTCGCAAAGTACTACTCCCCTCCACACCGTCCCGCTGGCACCTCAGCCAACTCAACAGACTACCCTGGCGCAAACCCATACCCCAACCTGAAGGACCAGAAGGCATTTGAGAAGGGCCTGCTTGAGAAAACAGTAAAGCAAACGAGCGATATCATTATGTACGACAATCGGGTTGTTGTGTTCAAGACGGAAGGTGATGTGATGCTCTACGTCGTTGGCGCGGCGGAGGAGAATGAGGTGTTGCTGTATAATGTCGTTCTTGCCCTGAGGGATACGTTGAATATTTTGCTACGGTATGTGTGCAATTTTCAATTTTCTTCATGTTTTGGAAAACTCCGTTTGTTTGGTCCGCGGCAACTAATCACTTCAAACATGACTATTTATAGGGCCGGCGTCGACAAGCGCAGCATTATTGAAAACTACGACCTTGTTTCGCTGGCTATTGACGAGATTATTGATGATGGCATCTTTTTGGAAACGGATGCTGTTCACATTGCCTCGCGTGTCAGCCGCGCTCCGGCGCAAGATGTGCCAAATATGAAGGGAATTGATCTGTCGGAACAGGGATTGTTAAATGCGTGGGAGTTTGGGAAGAGGCGGATTGCGGAGCAGTTGCGGCAGGGGTTGTGAACATGCCAGGTTCCTTGTTATTTTTATTTGACAGTCATCTTTTTTTTGGCCTTATTTTGTCTCAGCGGGTTCTATACAGCGGCGGGTTATGGCGTTCTGGTGTTATTTATTTATGTCTCCCAAGTGATGAATTTTCTGATCTTCGTTCTATGCTTATAGAATAGATTTGTTTCTCTATTTGAATGTGTTATGAATCTATTATGCCCTTCTTTTATATGGTGTTTCTACCCACAATGTGGACATCAGATCAAGCAGATAAAGTTTGGCGTTGATAGATTTAGCTCAGCAATGCAAGAATGGACCTAACAGAGAATTCAAATTATTTTTTGCATTTTCTACTGTTTTCCATATACTTGGAGATCTATTAAATATATGTTATTTTATTCAATTTTCGATGTAGTTGTTGTCGTCGTGGTCTCAATATGGCATACCGACAAGCACCGCCCCACCTACGTCACTCTCTTTTGACTACCTGGGTTTGTTTCTTTGTAAAGACATATTATTAACATCTGGCCATCAAAATCCTGTGCAACAAGAGTCAGCCAGGGAACCATTCCCAAATCCTTTAAAATGAAGCAGAGATTCTCCTCTCTTGATGTTAAAGTTTGTCAAAGGTGTTCCTTTTAAATATACATGTTCAATACACTAACTGGAACAGGTCATATCACAGGAGCTTTCACGCGCTCTGGTCGGCCTGCGAATTTCCAACATATATGATCTATCTTCAGTAGGGAACCATTTCCTCCCCTCTATAAGCATCTCCAAATCTCCCTACTAATGTAGATTACCACAGCGCATATGTCTCTTTAAACTTGCAAAACCAGACACACGGAAGCAACTCATCGTCGACATCGGGTTCAGGTGCCACCTTACAGAATACTCTCGGACGACTGCCGCTGCCCCCTCGCCATTTATCAGCCGCCTGCGAAAGTTCCTGAAAACAAGGAGAGTCACAGCCGTGTCCCAACTGGGTACAGATAGGATCATTGATATTGCATTTAGCGATGGCAATTTCCATCTCCTCCTGGAGTTCTACGCCGGGGGTAATATCATCCTGACAGACAAAGACTACAAAATCGTTGCATTACATCGGATCGTGCATGGGGGTGGTGAGAAAGAAGAGGTTAGAGTTGGATTGCAATATGATATTACCAACAAGCAGAATTATAATGGGGTGCCGCCGCTGTCAATTGAACGGTTACGGGAGACATTACAACGGGCGGAGGAGGCAGAAGGAGAGTGTGGTGCAGTGGAGGGTCCCGGAACTAACAAGAGGGGGAAAAAAAAGCAAGCGGAAGCACTAAAGCGGGCTATCTCGATGGGATTCCCCGAATATCCAGCTCTACTTCTAGATCATTCATTCCATGCGGCTGGTTTCGACGCGAATTTGGAACCGAAACAAGCACTGGAGGATAGTGAATTGATGAAACGGCTGATGCTTGTGCTTACGGAGGCGGAAAGTGTTAATGCCAGACTGTCCACTTTGGAGGACACGCCCGGGTATATAATTTCGAAGGCAGAAAGTAAAACGGGAGAAGCGATCACGGAGGCTGATACTGATTCCCCCAAGCCAAAAAATATGCTGTATCACGATTTCCACCCCTTCGAGCCGAAGCAGTTTGAAAATGTGCCTGGCATGACAATTTTGAAGTTTAAGACGTTCAACAAAGCTGTGGACGAGTACTTCTCTTCTGTTGAGTCTCAAAAGCTTGAATACAGACTTACTGAACGTGAGGAAATCGCAAGGAGGAAACTGGAAGCTGCACAGAAAGACCAAGAAAACCGTATTGGGGCATTGAAGGAAGTCCAGGAACTGCATGTCCGCAAGGCCCAGGCAATTGAAGCTAATTTGCTGCGTGTTGAGGAGGCGATCAAAGCTGTCAACGGTCTGATAGCACAAGGGATGGACTGGGTTGAAATCGCCCGATTAATCGAGATGGAAAAAAGCCGCCAGAATCCGGTTGCTAATGTTATAAAGTTGCCCTTGAAACTCTATGAGAATACGGTTACTCTACTATTGGGAGAGCCTACGGAAGATGAAGAACCGGCGGACGAGTCTGAGGAGGAAGAGGATTCTGAGAGTGATGATGAGGATGGAGGTAACAAAGTAAAGTTGGAAGGGTCAAAGAAGGCGCAGCAGCAGCTACTTTCTATCGATATTGATCTTGGGATTTCGCCGTGGGCGAACGCAAGACAGTATTATGAGCAAAAAAGGGTTGCTGCAGTAAAGGAAGAGAAGACGCTCAAATCAACCAAGAAGGCAATAAAGAGCACAGAAAAGAAGGTAACTACGGATCTGAAGCATGCATTGAAACAAGAGAAACCAATCCTGCGGCCTACAAGGACGCCATTTTGGTTTGAAAAGTTCATGTTTTTTGTGTCTTCGGATGGATATCTTGTCCTTGGGTGGGTGTTACATCTGATTCCGCGCTCTTATAGAGTTCATTTGCCGTGCTAACATATTGAGCAGTGGCCGAGACCTCCAGCAAACCGAGATACTGTACCGACGATATCTTAAAAAAGGGGATGTGTATGTCCATGCTGACGTACAAGGAGCTACTCCTATCTTTGTCAAAAATAAACCTGGCACCCCAGATGCTCCTATTCCACCTGGAACTCTTTCCCAAGCAGGCAACCTTTGCGTAGCCTCTTCGAGCGCGTGGGACTCTAAAGCTGTAATGGGCGCCTGGTGGGTGAATGCGGACCAGGTGTCCAAAACCGCACCGTCAGGAGAATTCGTGGGAACTGGCGGCTTTGTGATTCGGGGCGAGAAACATCAGCTCCCTCCTGCTCAGCTTCTCCTTGGGTTTGCTGTGATGTTTCAAATCAGTGAAGATAGTATCAAGAACCATACGAAGTACAGAGTGCAGGATGAACCATCTATCGTGGACATTGCGAAAGATATCCAGTGGGCAAATGAAGTTTTAAACTCAAAACAGGACTCAGAAGCCCCGAGAGCTGATGGCAATAAGGAGATAAGCCCTGCATCTGAAGAGCATGATAGTTCAGATGAGCAGGATGAGGAAATCGAGAATCCATTGTTAACCGGCATGGAATCTGAACCAGACGATTCCGGCGGCAATGAAGATAAGGGCGGTGATAATGGAGAAGAGAAACTACCAAATGATGACACTGATGATGAAAAGGAATATAATTCGGTAGTAACCAAAGAAACGGTGGTTCTAGAGTCGGGAGTAGATGAACCAATTACCCAATCTGAAGCTGATGTCTCTAAGCAGCCAACTGGCATCACCAAACGACAAGATATTAAGCACCTGACTGCCCGAGAAAGACGTCAATTGAAAAAGGGAGTCCTCATCGAACAAACTTCCGGCCGAGTTGGCGATGCCGAATCCCAATCAAGCTCTCCAACCCCATCTGTAGCACCATCAGTTACAACCACCACCAATACAAACACAGTTATCTCTAACATCCGCGGCAAACGGGGTAAGAGCAAAAAGCTGGCAACCAAATACCAACATCAAGACGAAGAGGACCGTGAACTCGCTCTCCGCCTCCTCGGATCGGCACCGAAGCCGGATAAGTTACGTGAAGCCGCGAAGAACAAAGCAGAGCGACAGGCAGAGCTCGAGGCGCAAAAGCAACGTCGTCGAGCACAACATGATCGAGCAGCACAGGCTGAACGGGAACGTCACAAGGCGCTGCAGCAACAAGGAGGTGACGGTGGTGAAACGCAACTCGATGACGCAGATACTGTGGCAGATTTATCTTGTCTTCCCTCTTTGATCGGCACACCAGTTGTTGGCGACGAGGTCCTGGCGGCGATTCCTGTCTGTGCACCATGGGCAGCATTGGGGCATTATAAGTATCGCGCAAAGCTACAACCAGGGATTGTCAAGAAAGGAAAAGCTGTCAAAGAGATTTTGGGGAAGTGGGTTTTAGATGCCACTGCTTCTGTGAATGCTATGGAGAAAGATAGGGGAAGAGATAAGGGGAAACTGCATGCTGATCCGTCTACTCTTGGAGACACCGGTGGGTACAAGGGTGAGGATGAAATTCTGAATGGAGAAGAGGACAAGGCTTCCTTGAAGCAGCTTACTGCCATGGAGTTGGAACTTGTAAAGGGATGGAGGGATGCTGAGATCGTGAATACGATCCCCGTTGGAAAGGTTAAAGTTATTTCCGGTGGTGGTGGCGAGAAATTGGGAAAAGGGAAAGGCGGGAAAGGCAGGGGAGGGAAAGGTGATGGAGGGAGGAGGCAAGGTAAGAGGAAGTAAGAGATAAGAGGCAGAGTATCTTTTCTAAATTGGGATGTACAGATAGATGGATTGTCTCGTTTATGTATATACCAAGGAACCGGATTGCATCTCGATCTGGATAGCAGGCAATACGAAAGGTCCTGGTAAGGAATAAGTTCTCATAACTTTCTTCATTATTGCCATATCACTTCATAGCCCTGAACATACTGTATCATGTGCATAATGAGCATAAGAAGGGGCTGAATGATATTGCAGGTGAAGAATCGCCACTGATGATTTAAGCAAGGGAGAAACGAAATCATTAACTAAAAATCTATATTACCCCATCTATCGACGAGAAGCAAAATAGGAATTTATATCACTTAACCGAAAACAATTCAAAAGCAATCCGTCTTCGTCATCTAATTTCCTCCTCTGCCGCTTTTCGCAGCCGATTCATGATCGCAGCCGCAAGATACCCTTCTGTGTCTGAAATGCCTTCAACATATATCACGGAGACATTTTTCTCATCTAAACCGCGTAAAGCAGAAAATAAGCCTCTTGCAATCGATTCTGTATCTCGACCAATGCTAACGTCGAAGAGCTCAACGGGGGTAGCCAAGTTGAGTTCTGCGGAAGGGAGTAGCCGAAGGTGAATCAGTTGGTGAACTTCACTGGGTGGAGAGGCGAGCGGATCAGTTTGGGCATTGGATATGCTCGATGGCTCTGAACCAGTTGAGCCATCGTTCAGACTATATTCAGGGGAACTAGGAATACCCAATCCCTTCTTCCAACATTTGGTCCTGACTATCCCTACACGAGGGAAAGAGGATGCATCGTCGCTACGGTCATGTTTCTCTTCACCAGTATCCCGTGCTAGATCCTGAAACAGCCTGGTTTTGACCGCTTGAATACCCTTCCCCGCCTCAAACAGGACAACCTTTGCCTTCGGGGAATAATGCTTATACTTCATTCCGGGAGCCCGCGGTGCCTCTTTACCCTGCAATGCGCCATCTTTATACCCAACTCGCACGTCCTCCCATCCCGGGCACGCCCGTATCTCTTCAATACCAATACCTCCTGGACGGAGTATTGCTGGCGGGTGTAGAAGTCCGTCAACCACAGTACTTTCCACTCCAACTCCACAGGGACCTCCATCCAGGATAATATCAATACGTCCCTGCATATCAGTAAACACATGCTGAGCCGTGGTGGGAGATGGTTTTGTTGAGGCATTTGCAGACGGGGCTGCAAGTGGTCTATCCGCGAGATGTATGAGGAGTCTTGCAAGCGGAGAAGATGGCATTCGAGCGCCAAACGTAGTAAGTGTAGATGTAACCTCCGGTGCGAGAGGGGAAGGCGTTGGATTTGGTAATATGATAGTCAATGGGCCAGGCCAAAATTTGCTTATTAGAGGCTCGTATATGGGAGGGATGAGATTGGTTTCTTCTCTCCCCTGGTTTCTCGTCTTTCTCGAGTCGGAACCACCATGGTCAGTACTTGATGAGTTCGATTGCAGGATGCGCTGTAATTGCTCCCGTGAACTAACATGAACGATGAGGGGGTTGTCTGACGGCCTTTGTTTGGCCTTGTATATGCCCTGAACAGCCGCGCTTCGTGTTGCATCCGCACCTAATCCGTACACAGTCTCCGTAGGGAATGCCACTGGTATATCGCTCGTTTGCAGCACTTCTGCGCTTTCAAGTAGAGTCTTAGCCTCCGGGTTCCCTCTCTCCAATTCTACAGCCCATTTTTCAACTATCTGCTTGGTAGTATCCTGCGCAGAGAAATTTAAACTGTGGACGGGCAAAACCCTTGTTATCCTCTTCCCTGTCTCCCCATTGCATTGATTCATGGTCTCCACCAACACATCATTCCGCGCTACCATGGCTGTGGGAACTCTTTGCGCAGTGAGGAGCCGGAGAGCGGGGAAGAGGCGATAGGAACTTATGGCAGCCGTTGTAGCAGGCGCCTAAGGCTAAGCTTCGTCTTCTTAACGAACCACAGCAAAATATACTCTGTAATAGCGGGTCGTTCGGGCGTTTGATGCGCAAAATCGATACTAAGATAGCCTAGTTAGAACACTCCGCGATAATTCCAGACCAACCGCACTCGAGGGTGAGATTCATTGGATTGGAGACGAGGACATGGCCATGTTTCCTTACGTACCCTTTTTTTTTTTTTTTTTTTGCAAAAGACAGTAGAATCCAAATTCAAATCAAGCCAATAAAACTAGATAATTCTGAAATGCAATGGAAATATCATGAAATTGCGATTCCTGTCATATAGTGCTGGGTATCGGTCGTTGGGTAGTTATCCGTTAACGGTAGCTTTGTCCCGCGATTTTTTTTTTTTCTTTGATGACTCTTTCGATGACGTCGAACCACCAAGAGGCAAAATTATGTAAATATAATAGTTACCCATCGATCTACGAATCTCATACCAAGCAGTGTAAACAAACACCGAAAATTTGTATATCATCTATGGATATGTTCATCTACGCTTACATATCAGGCCACCGTTGCTCTTTTGCACATACTTGGCAATGTAAATGGCCATATTTCTTCGACATATCCAATCGATAAGGAGAGTAATCCCTCAATGTTCCGAGGTCACAAATCTCCAGGAATTCTTAGGGTATTATAATATAAAACTCAGAGCATGCGGTTCCTTACGAACATGAAAGCAATGCGCAAAATAGTCGAACATACGCTTCAGGCGAGTAACGAAAACAGTGGAGGACCATTTGAGAAGTGTTTTCGAAAGGTATTTTCACTCCTTAATTGTGATTAACAGAATTTGCAACTCTAGTGGGACACATAGCAAATCATAGCCGCTGAGGAATGAATATTTGTCAACTCTCTCATTTGTGCAGCTTCATCATAACCGCAGTACGACGAGAATCTAGGACGTTGCCCGTAGAGATGAGACTGAAGCATTGAGTGGTTGAGGGATCAAATAGCAGGTAAATAACTCTTTCGATAGTCGGATATATCTTCTGGTTCACCACGAGAGGCAAAGAAACGTCCACAAACATTTTCCGCATTCACCTCGTCAAACATTCTCCAGTTTGTAAACCTCATAACCAGGCTCCTCGTACGGATGAGCCTTAATCAGCGCCTTTACAGCTTCCTGCATTGTAGATCTTCCCAAGCAAAGAACCTCCACGCGCATTTCTTCCACAAACTCGAGCGCACCGACTTTACCAATATTTGGATTTGCACCGTCTCCGGGGAGAAACTGGCCGGTGCCCGGAGACTGAAAACAGACCCTGCTGTATTTTCCTTGTGGGTACTGCCCAGCACCGGCATCGAAGACAGCATCTTTACAGGCTTCCACATGAGATAGCGGAGTGAAAAATATGAGCTTGAAACGGTCTTGATCCATGACAGGCGAAGAAACGTAGGACCGGATATGATGGGATTGGACGGAGCCTGCTGGGGAGAACAACGAGCGACGGGTAAGTGACGAGATCCTGACAGTGCGTCCTAGAGAGGAGAGGAGCATCTCCTTTCCTCCTTTCCACGCTTCCTCCTCTTTGCTTCTGCCCTTGCCGTTGAACAGCAGATAAAATTAGAAAAATGAATAGGTGTGAATGTGTATTTGCAGTTGTTCCCGTGTTCGACCAGTCGTTGATGTCTGCGGACGATGACATAAGACGGTAATGCGCAGCCTCTGATTGGCCCATCGGTATACCTCCAAACTTCAACCCATACAGTTCGTTTCTCGCTGTTGCTAGGATCTATCAACTTCCCCGTTCATTCCAACTTCCAATTGCCCGCAATTACTATCGAAGCCCTCAATTCCGAGGGGGCTGCTCAGGAACTGACCTTGTCGGTCCCTATACTGCCAGCGATGGCTGCCAAACTTGTTCCCTTTTCTCTGAGGCAGCGCTGTGCCCTTTTCTCCTGCGTTTCGGCACGGCAATGCCGCCCCTTCACTGTTGCAGCGCCCCTCCGGAGCGAAACACTAGCAGTTGTATGTCCAATTCCCTATGTACCGTTATCTTCATTCTTTGAAAACTATATGCTGATACGTATAATGGCCAATTAGCATCGAAACACACCCGAAAACAACCCCAACATCCCATTCCAATTCTCAGAACAGAACCTCAAACTTATCGATGAGATACTCCGGAGATATCCCCCGCAATATAAGAAAGCAGCGGTCATGCCAGTCCTAGATCTGGGCCAACGGCAGCATGGTTTCACCAGTATCAGCGTTATGAATGAGGTCGCACGGTTGCTGGAGATGCCCCCAATGCGAGTCTATGAGGTTGCGACATTCTACACAATGTACAATCGGGAACCCGTAGGAAAATACTTCGTCCAGGTTTGCACAACGGTATGTTGCGGGAGCTTAAAGTTTACGACTATTATTACCTAAATCATCAAAGTTCCATGTAGACTCCCCATTGCTAACCCACGGCGATATTTTGACCCGTTTTCCTTAGACTCCATGCCAACTAGGCGGATGCGGCAGCGCCAAGGTCATGAAAGCTATCACAGATCACCTTGGAGTTTCCAACGGCCAAACCACCTCAGACAAACTATTCACTGTCCTCGAAGTCGAATGTTTGGGCGCCTGCGTGAATGCCCCCATGGTACAAATCAACGACGACTACTACGAGGACCTCACCCCAGAATCCGTGGTATCACTTCTAACCGCCCTGAAGCAAGCGGAAACCGACGTTACCGTCAAGGTCCCCGCACCTGGCCCTCTCAGTGGCCGAAAATCGTGTGAGAACAGTGCTGGCTTAACGAACTTGACGAATCCGTCGTGGAGTCCGGATCGGATGAGGAAGGATGGGGAACTTTAAAATTGAATATGACATATAATAAAAAATGGAAATGGGTATTTAAGATGCAAGGAAACATAAAGTTTAAGTTCTGGTTGATAGGGGTGACACGTGTTAAAAAGGGGCTGCATCTTTCGTTTCCTAGTATGACGACTGTACAATATGTAGCTTGAGGGTGTCATAAGCTTTTTCTCCTTCTCCCTCCGTTTTTAAATGCTCCTAGAAGCCCATGCGGCCTATATGGAGTAAGTAACAAATTAGATTCCCAAACACAGCCAAAGCACATGAATCCCGCATGACATTTAGTGCAGAACAACAATCTTATTAGTTATTAGCCCGTACAACGCTTCTTGAGCTTTCGCATTAAGTCCTTCGCACATACACAATCTCTGTAAACGAAAGCATTCAATCCACAACTTCAACCCAATAATTTCCAAGGCAACCCTATAAAGGACTCAAAACGAACATTAAGAATCTTACAAAATCCAGTCCAGGAACTATGCACCCTAAAAGCCTTTCTTGAAAGGTCGGAGACTGAAAATCCCATGCGGGATCAGAGAATAACTATTTCCAATTCCCACCAATGAAAAAGATGAAATCAAAAACAAAACTTGACACAAAATCGGCATCAAAATTCATCCCAACATCAATAGAAACACAGAACACACTCCCAAAAACTTAAGCATCAGCAGCATTACTGCCATCCAAAGAACTTCCTCTCCATTCAGCTTCATCGGTAGGCAACAACATCTCAGTTCTTGGTAATGATATAAACTGTCCGTCCCGCTTCACTAGGCGTTCCCGTCGACGGTGCTCGAAAATATTCACCTCGATCGTCTTCAGAGCCAAGAACTGATATATGTGCACATGCTTCTGTTGGCCATACCGGCGCGATCGACCGATAGCTTGTGCCATCCCGGAAGTGTAGTCATACTGAGACTTGGCGAATAGGGGATGGAAGAAGATAACGTGGTTTGCGTTTTGAAGGTTTCTGTGAAATAAGTAAATAAAAGAAAGGCTCGAGGTTAGAACTCAAACAATACATTACTTTCATTTCAAGTATTTATTAGAAAATGGGGTAGTAGGTAATTGGGGGTAACTGAGACAGGATTATAGGTTATGTTCAACTTACAGTCCAGACGCTGATACGTCCCCAAGATGCAAGATAAGAACTTTACTCTTTACTTTCTCAGTCTCTGTCTGAAATTCTGTAATTTTAGAAGATGCCATGCGATCATTGACGGGAATCATCAGATGCGGAATATTTGCCTTCCCGAGCGCGGCGGACGCAGCCTTCATGAGGTCGGGGAATTGTATAAAGAGGAGAACACGTTCGTCCGCTGGAATTTTATCGGTATTTCGTACGAGTCTGATTAGTTCCAGGAATTTTGTTCCTCCATATACTTGCCATTGCTCATTTATGCCATCACCACTCCCATCGCTGTCCACAAAAGCAACGTCAGAATACTTGATAATCCGGAAGCTCTCCACAATACCGCCACAGGCGGGAAGCCGGCATTTCTCTTTGGCCCTGGCTATCTCGATACATGGTTCGCAAAAGGCATGTCCGCATTCACCCAGGATAGAGAGGGTGGTGGGATCGCTGAGGCGGCGAAAGCAAGAGGAACAAGCAAATACGTCGTCAGGTAATCGGACCTGAAATGAACGGACAACGTTGAAGAGTCTGGCAGCTCTCACGCGAATTAAGGTTTCGTCAACCAGTCTGCGCAAACTGTCAGTGCAAGAGTTTAGGTCACTAAGAAATTCCGACGGAGTCTTAGGGAATTCGAGACGAATGTCGGAGGGGTTCTGTTTCTTCTGTGCACTACGTTAGTATTCAATCCATTTTGGTTGATTACCTTTGGGGCCTTTACCTCCTGCGGTGTTGAGTAGTAGTATTTTCCATCTTTAAGGGTCCGTGTTCTCTGCACATCAGCTATCGCTTTTCGGAAACACTCAGTGACTCCCAGGTCACCAGCTCCGTTTCCTTCTATATACTTTACCAGGCTATCGAAATGCGTCGTGCCTTCAATTTTCGATCTTAGCCAAAAAGCATGGCGGAGCTTTTCAAATATATCTCGAACAAGGTCATCAAACTGTCGATCCCGCGCAAAGACAGCATTTCCTTTGCCTGAGCAAACGGAGGTCGACTCTGTTTCGGGTGTGGCCGAATACCTGCCCTCGTCGCCATCAAAAACGCTGGTTGGGTGAGACGAAATTGAAGAATCATCGGTTTTCGCAGGATCTTTTTTGTTAATCAATTGTTTCCCCATTACTTGTTCCAGTGGAACAAAGTAAGAGGAGCATTTTAACAGAGCTTCTTCGGGTCCACTGCTATTTCCAAGAATAGCATCATTTCGAGATATTGCAGATAAATCGTAGAGACCTCTTCCGTTCCTACGAAGCTTTAGATTTTGGGACATTAGCTGCATAAACAGCTCGAGATAAGCCGCCCGTTCGCGTGATGCCAAAACAACTGTACAAATATGTTCAGTCCATGGTATTTCGTCGATACCCGGTGAATTCTAGATACGTTAGTTCTCCATTTCAACGTTATCGTACACATATATTACGCGATGGTAATAACCTTTCTCATAAATTGGATAAGGAAGTTTTGAGCAACACCATGCCGTCTCTGGTGCCATGCTGCACTGTGGCGAGTTACGAAGGGCTGAAATTGCTCCGCATCTAGCTGGCAGTCAGTATTTGTAAAGGGCCTTAGACTACATACGCTTTGTAATACCTGTTTGCTCCCGTTGTACGGCTTTCAATCTTTCATTTTCCGTCTTCCTACTTTCCTCATCATCGACACCCAACGTGATCCCTAGAAAGGGAGAGAATGACTTAACATCAGCAAAGCCATTTAGTGGAGGCGTTCCTGACAGAATCCATTTGCTACGAGCAGGAATAACCAGAACTGAGGAGTAGTTCCTGTCCTTAGAGTACGTAAACTCATCGATAACAATGCGGCTGTATTCAAACATATGGATCAAAGGTGAGTGCATTTTCCTCCAATCGTTTCTCGAATTTCGAAGTTGAAATGCCTTGTCAGCCTCGCTGCTGGGCTCTCCGTTTGTGGATTTCGTTTTCCTTTTCGCCTTCTTTGTTTGGGTGCCACTGGTGGCTATATCAGGTTGGTATTCATCATCTTCTCGCATTCTTTTGCGTTTGCCGTTCTGCAACTTCAGCACAGAATTAGTTGAACCCGGTGCTGTGTTGTTATCTATAATGCCAGCTCCTGAGTTATCGGCCCCATTGCTTTGCAATTTCTCCTTAAGTTTCAGCAGATGCTCTTTGAACTTCTGACCCTTGAGCCTCCTCGAAGGTTTGAACTTAGAGTATACTCCATAACTCAGGAGATTAGCCTGTTTTCTAATCATACTCTGAAGAACTGCATCAGACCCCTCTGTCATGAGCATGTTGACATGATCCCTAACACCAACCATCGTATCGTGCAACCACTCATCAAAAATACGACCATCCCCCTTTGGCACCGCATATGTCGAAGCAAAGAGTTCCATCTTGTCATAGTAGCTCGTGCCACGAATAACAGAGGTTGAAACTAGGATAATGTCAGCCGTTTCAAAACGAAGAATGGTCAGTGAACGTAGCGAGGCAATTGACTTTATTTCCAATACATTGTACTTTTTCCCCAAGAATTTTGTAATTTCATGAGACCATTGGTCAATCAAGTGCTGGGGAACGACAATCAAGGTAGCCTTGATTGGAATAGCTCCTTCCGTTGAATCAGGGACATCGTTTGAATCTTTAACAAATTGAGAATCAATTAAACCAAGGCTGATGGCAGTTTTTCCATATCCAACATTGTCACCCAAAATTCCTCCACGAAGAGATTGTTCAGTGGTTGCTTTCGCTTCAGCTCTCCAATTTAAAGCCGGAAGCATAGCCTCAACAACCTCCTCTTCATCAAAAGATTGAACAACGTTTTCCTGTTCTTTCATCCATGTGAGCGATCGCAGTTGTTCGGGACGTAGGTTAAAAAACTTGAAACCAGGGGGTTGTGCTGATTCTGGATCGTCTTTGTTATTCTTCTCCTTGAGTGGAGGCATTCGTTGGCGAAGAAAACCAATATTGTCAATGCAAAGGCGCCATTTGAGAGACACTTGATGCTTTTTAACAAGCTTTCCCTTTGCTTGATGAATTAGAGTTATCACATTCAAACATAATTTGACATGCAAGACGGAATCATTACCAAGGCTGGTAAAACCAAGAAATATCGCTGGTCGTTTCTTAATATTTTGCTCATACATAGCAGCGTCTTCCGGGTTCTCGTAAGCACATACGTGGTCTCTATCGTCCAAAGTCCACATTAGTCGAGGTTTTCGAGGAGCACATATATTACAATCTCTGTTGCTGTTTTCTTCGTTGCTCAAGACGATACTACTCCATTCGCCAAATTGATTCACGACACTGGCTCGGTGCAGCAGCCACGCGAGCGTCTTAAGAACTGCAGGTGATTCTATCAGATTCGATGCAGCCCATGTGCCAGGCTCCAAAGCCAATTCGGCACCACTCGCTGGAACTGAGCAGGTCAGTATCGTTGTATATGAATCGAGACACTTCGACCCGTCATTTCGAATAACGAAGTGAGACGTTGGAATCTGGTATAGAGGAAGTGCGGAAGGGAGGTAAACGTCAAGAGATATCGCCTCGTTTGCCGCAGTCTTCCGGAACCAACAACGGACGGACTTGGGTTCCTGACAAACAATAGATGCGTCCCAATTCGGGCGCACCTCTGCTATCGTGATGCGCGACTCCCCGATACCTAAGCGTCCATGATCAAGAGCAAAAACCCAAGAATCAAATTCTGGAGAGCCAATTTCGGTTGGATCCAAAAAGAAGTAGATAGGAGGCTCAGAGTCAACTGGGATCTTCTTATGCAAGCTTCCACTAGCAGCTCCGCAGTCTTGAAGAAGCTCGTAATCTCCACGAAGGTCAAATTCCAGATTTGCAACCGCAGCATTTGTTGCAGATATGTTGATCTGATTCCACACCATCGCGCTGGCAAAATTCGAGTGCTTCAAACCGGCTCTACATCCGATAGACGGAACAAGATTTCCCTTCCCGGAAACGGTAATATCAAAATATGAACTAACTGGAGAATTGACGCGCCAGGTTCCGTTCAATATATTCATGCCGGATGGAACCACGGAGGCAATAGGACAAAGTAAAATTTGTCTCAGAGGGGAGTTACTTGGTTCACCTTTTGATGGGATAAGGTAGAGGAACCATTGCAACCTCACAGAAGAACAAATGAGCTTTAAAATAGACCAGGTCCCCTGATACGTAACTGTCCAGGATCTCTGTCGAGTCACCCCCTGGAACCGCAGCTCATCTCCCAAAGCTGGAAGAAGTACCTTGTAAAAATCATCCCACACCGCCAGAACCTCGGCCGACATGTTATGTTCTTGCAGTGCTTGGTACATAGCAAAGGACAATCCACTAACTTGAAGCCTCATCGGAAGCATTTTCTTCAGCTGGGTCTCGAAGTCTGTGGGACAAATACGATTTTTTAGTTGATCTTTAGGAATCGCAGAGTACGCGTGGGGAGGATTGCGGCCGCATGATTTGCAAGCGGTAATACCACACTTCAAACATTGCAGCATGTCCGTTCTTTTCGTCAGCACCTGCCCTTCGCAAATACACAGCCTTGAACTTCGTTTCCCAACATCGAATATGTCGAGCGGAGACAGAATGGTTTCTTGCTCCATTTGAACTGGGGCCATCTCCACGGCTTGATCATCAATAACTTGTATCCCAGGCATATAGCGTTCTTGTCTTTTATAATTATTTGGAGAAGCCCGGTTAGGCGAGAGCGCTTTGTATCCAATGATTAATGCACTCATGATCGCTGCACCAACAACGGTCGAGCTCATTGCGTTTCCTGCAAGATCATTGAGGTCCCGTTGACTATCATTGCTCAATAGGAGCCTATCGATCGGTATACCTTGCAAGGCCAAAGATTCGATACCTAGGAGAGGCCCACCTCGGGATGTGACAAAATGCTGACCCCGTGGGGTTAAACATCCAGCAATACCGGATGCACGCTGATCCAACTCTCTGTCGATCCCTTGAGAGAGATCAATGACCCGACTATATATATATGTTAAATACATATCATAAAACACGAAATTATACGAGTCATGAAGTGACTTACGATTTGAAACTAATATCAAATCCTCTTATGATGCTCCTCAAGAAATTTACGTCAAGCGTATCCCAAACGCGCTCTGTCTGCGCCTTGCTCCACCCGTGCCAATAAAAATCAGGCGTTTGGCAGGTTCCATTATCTTGCCAGCGAGTAAGTGGTCGTTTATTTCCAAGGCCTTCTCTCATTCTATATCTGAGATGCCGGGCTTTGTACCGCGTCCAATCGACAGCTTGGCGGTCCTTGATTGGATTGCTTGATATGTCATCGATTGCGTCCTGCAAACGAGAATCATCATTTCTTAGTAGGAATTGGGTAACAGGCGAGCTTGCTGGACGTTCGAAGTTTCTCATCATCTTAGCAAAAGCAGATGGTTTAGAGTCCTCGGGGGCCGGAGTCACCAGTGTAGTTTGGTCGATACAGAGCATGTAGCCTCTCTCACGCGTTTGGGGCAGATAGTAGTTCTTCGTATCTACTTTAACGTGATAGGCGTGGTAATCCATTTCTTTGAAAGCATCCTTGATGTGGTTCCACGGAGCACCGCAAACGTTCTCCAGAATTACCATGGGTGGCCGGCAACGTTGGGTGTATCGCAAGACGCCATAAAAGGTATGACCCGATTCACCCATTTCATCAAGAGTCTTGCGATGGAGGTTCATATTCGAAAAATCCACACAGGAAAAGCCAACAATAAGAAGATCCAAATCTGCAGGGACTTTTCGAAGAGAACCAAATGCAGTAGTTCTACTGATCAAGTTAGTGCAGTCCATTTTCAACGTGTGAAATTTCTTACGCGTCATCAGCAATTAGTTCATTGACATCTCGGAAAATGATATCAGGGGAAAAGTTCCGCTGGATGTAAGACTGCTTGAAAGGATCAATCTCTGCACTAAATAGGTGATGAATGTTGAGCGTTTTCCCAAATATCCTCTTGAAACCTATCGTTTTATCAGCAAAGGTAAACCGAGCACTCTATGGCGACTTACTGTCAATCACCATCTCTAATGCGAGGAGGGGGGCTTCCGTTCCGGAACACATAGTAGCGACGCGAAGATCCCGTGAACCAATGTGTTCGAGAACGCTATTAAAGCCATATCTCTCTGCATTGATAGAAATGTCATCAAATATATCTTCAATTTTGCTGATCGGTGGGAGACTGAGATTCAGACCAGGCTTGGGTTTCTTGCCGGGTAGCGATGAATATTTGCCTCTCAATATCTCTGGTGGGGAATTGGTTAAAATGTTCACATCTGCTTCGCAAATATTGGCATCTTCGAGAGTAACATCTCCGGACACAGAAGTCTCAGTTTCCAAGTCAATATCAGGAGAAGTGCAACTATCATGATTGACATTGGAATAGGTGGAGGATCCGCTATCACTTAGATCAGTTGAAGCCTCCTCCATATTGAAATCCTGGACCATGTCGAGGGGAGGGCACAGCCCCTTATCCTGAATCTCCATTTAAGACAGTAACGGCGATTAATTGGCTCTACTCGAAGACTTTGTCAACTATTGAGGTCTGCTATATGGCAGTTTAAAGTCGTCTCATCCAGAGGCAAGCAAATCCAATTGGAAGACACCTAAAGTCTCCAATATTGCGATAAAGTGTGCAAGGTTCAGGACAATGATATAGGGAAAGGAAAGGAAAAGAGTAGTGCAGGTGAAGACAAGTGACAGGCATGTGTGCAGATGAAAGAGGGATGCTTGTTGATAAGCAGAGAGGTTGAACAGACAATCAGAATCAGATCAACAAATTAAACAAGCCAGCACACTGAAAACCTCAGGAGTGTTGCCGGGTCATTCAAGAAGGTCCCATGGCATCCTTGCATAAATGATCCACATTAGACTGCTTGTAATGCAGATCCTTACATTTTAATACTTTATGCCGGTAGGTAGACCCAATCAAGGGGCTCAGGAAGCAATACATCTCCATTCCTGGATAGAATAAAACTCCAAGAAGTTTCACCGGATCTCGCTATACCCTCGGAAGCCTAGGAATATGAGGAAATTGGGCTGTCTTCATGATCAAACCAATAAGTGGATCAGTATTTGCAGATCGGCCGTCTGCATATTTGATAACCGGGTCTAACCAATGGGAAGGCCAACAGGTATTGACCCAACAACGGGCTGTTTGTTCCCGGGTGAATGAATAGATAGAGATCGCTATCTTCGATTTTATTACATGCAAACATATTTTCCTGAGACCAAAACTGAATGATCCATGATTCTGTTCGTAAACGGAGCGAATCGACGCTGAATCGCTAATAGGAGGCTGACACCCAGAATTAGGTATGTAAAAGAACAGAGACCAGTGCCCGTTTCTGAATTGAGGGAAGCAATAAACAGAAATCGACGCATGATGAAAGAAACCCAGATTCCATAAAGAAATGAAATATGTCTTCGAATGACACGAAGAGGACGTCAAACTCTAACCATGACCCAGTGCACACATAAAGAGTGTGGAATGATGAAACAGAGTAGAACAGACGCCAAAATAATCTTCCATGGCATAATGCAGCAACCACCTGTCTCCTCGAAGGAGCAAAGTGCATGAGACAAAAGCAACGGCGGACATGATCAAAACATAAGCCGTTTAACTAGGGGTGGAGCATTGAGGAGGAAAAAGGGAAAGATGAGATGAGTAGATAATATATGAACCTTTGTCCATCGAATGCATTGCTTTGAATAACGTGAGCAACGGTTTCGATGGAAAATGAACGGATGTTGGCTTCGAGATGATGAAATTCTCCATCGTTTTTGCGTAGTTGTCAAACTTATATTTTAAGCGCCATCCGCGCGCTTCCTAGTTGAGCCCCAAAATTAGGTAAGGTTCTACCCTCGATTAAAGCCGTGTGAAATTACCCAGCAACAAATAACCTTCCCCGGTTTTGCCTCCGTGAGTTGTGGGGGGTTTTTGAAGCAATACTTCCCAGGAGAGATGGAATGTGAAGTTGGTGAATGAAGTGAGATTGCTAGATCCAGAGTCCTATCCAACCACGTCAACCTTAAGGGGCTTGTCGTTCACCTCGAAAATTACAGGACCTTTTAGAGAGATTCATCAGGAGTTTAAAGGCTGCATGTGGTACGTATCCAGCCACGGGATTGTCTAGAACATCACGCATGAGCTCCGCAATATCTGCAAGATTAAACAAAATGATACTGTGTCTGTCATTGTTGGCCTAATACTGCCAAGGAATAATAAATAAATGATGCATTTTGCCCTGAGTGTGTCCCACATCGCTAGTACTTGGTGAACAAAAAAAATGTTTCCAAAAAGGAGAAAAAAAGAATACCAAGGTTCCACCATTGCGCCGTATTTCCGTATCATCCGCCATAAGAGTTAAGGTTCGGTTTAAGGGGGGGGAAATATGTAAAAATGAGAAATGATGCATAGCCCATAGCCCATAGCACAAACTACCTCATTCCTCCCTGCATCAATTGTTGTCTCAGTAACATTATTTGGCTTCGTTCCGTTGGCGGCAGTGCGTCTATGGCAGATTGTGGCATATTCAACACCTGCTGCAGCAGTTCATCGTGCCCAGGTATCTGAGGTTGGGTCGCTTGTTGTTGGGACTGTTGTTGGGGTTGAGGGGGCATCGTAGGGGCCGCGAAAGGAGTATGTTGTATAGGAGGGGTTGATATTTGACCTGGGACTGATGGGTACGGTTGGAATTGCTGAGGTATCTGAGAAGTCTGTTGTGATGGCTGTGGTTGTGATTGGGAAGCCTGTTCAACAACAGATCCAAGCACGCTATAGTCGACGAGGTTCATGAGTAATAGCGCTTGAAATATGGCATAAGCTAGATGTGGCGCCTGTCTCAATAGCTCCGTAGCGCGAGCTGGGTCTGCCATTACTAGTGATTTCATCTGGGTAATGACGTCTAACAGTTGAGGAGCAGGGAGGGAAGCGAGGGTTTGTGAGATGGCATTGGGACAAGTGAGATTTGGAGGTAGGTCAGTCCCTGGAGGTAGTTGCGGAAGTAAAGGTGGCTGTGACTGATCTTGTCCCTGCATCCCCTGCATCATTCCCATCTGCGACTGTTGTGAATAGTCAGGGGGAACAGAGTCCTTCTCGTTGTTATGTGGCCAATCCACTCGTATCTTGCGACCCATGATTTCATAGTCATTCAGATTCCGTACTGCAGAAGCAGCAGCGTCTGCGTCCGCAAAATCGGCAAATCCATATCCCTTAGGCTTTCCGGTCTCGGGGTTTATCATCAACCGGAATTTGGTAACTGTGCCTGCGGAGCTGAGGATGTCCTTCACCTGCTCCTCTGTAAGGTCTGAGAAACCTGTTAGTAACGTTACAACTGGAAATACGATATGTGCAATGGACCAGGATGAGATTGGATTACTGTATGGGATATTCCCAAGAAAAACGCTTTTGCCGAAGCGATCTGGGGCCATTTTCACGACGCGCACAATCAGATAGGTGTTTGTTAGGATTAATTTGAGAGGCAGAAACTGACAATTAATACTCTCAAAAAAAGCCAACACTTAGTTCTCAGTCCTCAGGTTGGCGGATGGGTGTTAGAATGGGCTCTAGGTGGTTAAAGACGAAACTGACCTAGAGAACTGCGGTTGAGGCGTCCAACACACGCCGTACCAGCATTGGAGCCGCCAAATCTGCCAAATCTCGCGCCTTGCCTAAAGTGGACTAGTGGAATCACCCAGAACTTTTTGATCCCATCGGCAGAGCAGCGAGTTCTTGATCTCCGCCAGTCAAGCCTAGTAAACTGGCTGGATCTCTCTTTTCCCGCGCTGTTTACTCTTTTGGCATCATCATGGCTGGGGATCCTCGTGAGACATGGGCAAGGCTGCAACAGTCCCTGCAGCAGCAGAGGTTTAGAGGCGGATTTGGAGGTGGATTTCCGGGAGGGGGTGGTAGGAAAGCTTTCGGAGGTGCAGGAGCATTGATTGCAGTTGGATTGGGGGCATATGTCTTTATGAATTCCCTCTTTAACGGTGAGTCAACCTATTGGACCCCTGCGGTTACTTCAATTGTTGTGGTTTTTCTTTTTCCTTTTTTTGACTAACACATTTGGTGTCTTTCTCAGTGGACGGTGGTCATCGAGCAATCAAGTATACGAGAATAGGTGGTGTGAAGAAGGAGATTTATAATGAAGGTTGGGCATCAATTTATCCACTTTGTGCTAGAATTTCATAATCTAAAACTATTTGAATAGGAACCCATTTCCGAATTCCTTGGTTCGAAACCCCTATCATCTACGACGTTCGTGCGAAGCCCAGAAACGTTGCATCACTTACCGGCACCAAGGACTTGCAGATGGTGAACATCACTTGCCGTGTTCTTTCACGTCCAAGAGTCGAGGCTCTACCTCAGATATATCGTACTCTCGGAACTGATTTCGATGAGAGAGTTCTTCCTTCTATTGTCAATGAGGTGTTGAAGGCTGTTGTAGCGCAATTCAACGCCAGTCAGCTCATCACACAGCGAGAGAACGTTGCCCGACTTGTCCGTGACAATCTTTCCAGACGTGCTGCTCGCTTCAACATTGTACTTGACGACGTCTCTCTAACGGTATGAAAAAAGTCCATAACAACTGCTCTCCCTCCCCGTCTTTGAACATTTCGTAGCAGCTAACAACACATTTCCCTTGGCAATAGCATCTTGCCTTCTCACCCGAATTTACCGCTGCCGTAGAAGCCAAACAAGTCGCCCAGCAAGAGGCCCAACGAGCTGCTTTCGTCGTCGACAAAGCCCGTCAAGAGAAACAAGCCACCGTCGTGCGTGCACAGGGTGAGGCTCGTTCTGCTCAGCTTATTGGAGATGCAATCAAGAAGAGCAAGAGTTACATCGAACTCCGGAAACTTGAGAACGCCAGAAACATTGCCACGATCTTACAGGAAGCTGGTGGAAAGAACAAGCTCTACCTTGATTCGGAGGGCTTGGGCTTGAACGTTAATATCAAGCCTGACTCCTCTGACAGCTGAAAATGAAAAGCAAACGATTGATGGGTAGGCTTACAGATGATAGAGTTGTTTGCTGAGTGTCTGAGGAGTGGGGACCATGTTTTCAGCGTTTATCAAAAGGGAAAGTGTTCCTGAATTGACATATGCACGAGATTAGAAACCTCCCTTTCTCGTCACTTTATTTTTCTCCGCCCGCTCCGCTCAGGATTCGAAAGTGCCAAGTGTATCTCCAGGGTGAGTGCATGTATAAGTATCTGGCGAATTGCTAATTCTCTTTCTTGTTGTACTGTTGCCACTAGTTAACTGTTACTATTACTTTTCCTGGAAATTGGATCGAAATATACAAACGTCTCCAATATTAAGCACTCCTCAGATTATTCAGCTGCCTGGCGTATTTATCAACTTCTCTTCTAATACATGTATCTTAATCCAAATCATATTTGTGTCGCTAGTGGACGATCCATTCACTATGAAATGTTCAGTTCGTCGAACAAGAAGAAGGTCCAGGGAAGTAATATTGTTTTATT